GCCTTTGTCTCCCGATGTTTACACATCGCAGCAGGTACTGATTTGAGGTTGAGTCGACCTAGGGGAGGCCCATGACCGGTTCAGATAATCGCCACTGGTGTTGGCCGTGAGCGGGAAACGAACCTAGGTGTCTAGGTTCGTAGCGCAGCGTGCTAACCGCTACACTATCGCTCCCCACAACACAATCGCTCACACACAAAACCGGCATCCATAAACTATTTTTATTATACCAAAGTAAGGCCCACTGAGCTATACAGCTCTTTTTCAGAAGCGAGCACAAATGATAGCCCAGCAAAGTGGCTTATCATCATCATCATGTGGACATTTACTGCAGCCAAAAACACTAAACTGGTGAGAGAGACGCAAATTCCCAATATACAGCAGCAGCAGGCGTCAGGGTCGGGATCGAACCCACGACCTCCTGTATACCAGGCGAGGTAGTTAACATCTTCTAGCCACCGTGACGCCCCACGGTGACGAGATTTGACCCACATGTCAGATTTCGCCACTCACCTGACACCCACCACTCATCATCATCATCGCCGTAGACAATTAGTAACCGTGTTGAGACGCAGCGGACTCACCCCCAACCAACTCCAGCCCCAACGGCACGCGCCCATCCCACGTACGATTTGTAAACGGGGCTCGTATCACGCGCAAGTACTATTGTATATAGTAGAGCGGATAGGCCGAGTGATGACGATGATAATGAAAATAATTATTTGAAATGTCATCGTTGTCATCACCGGCTACGGCCAATCCACTGCTGGATGAACCAGGCCTCAGATGCTAGAATCCACCGAGCCAACCCCCTGCACGCACGACGCCGATCTCGACCATCGCTCCATCTCCGTGGCGTACGTCCTCTAGGGTTCTTCCCCTCCCCTTTGGCTGCCACTCCACCGCGACCGAGAGGAATCTGATGAGCTATGAAGCTCTTTTTGTTACCCCTTCTATCCGTGACGAGTCCTGCTCGAGTCCAGTTTGCGTTTCCCAAGAGCCAATGACAGGCGTCTAACGTCCGTCCCGGCCAGCCCAGTGTTACAACAAATGTTGACGACAGGCGTGCAGCGGTCATATGACACTTGACATTGGTAGTTTTTATGACTTCAACACAAATGCGTGATTATAAGGCGTACCATTCCTCTGCAATATAACGCATACGTTCAGCTGCGTCTTATAAACCGGTGTGTGTGCGTGAGACCAGATACGTAGCGTGCTGTTGTTGTTGTTATAGCTTTAGGATAAATACTCTTTGGTTGTATTGGGTAAAGTCACGTAGGTAAAAAATAAAATAACAAAAATCACGACGTTTCGGCCACAACACAAGCGGCCTTGTGGCCGAAACGTCGTGATTTTTGTTATTGTATTTTTTACCTACGTGACTTTACCCAATAGCACCAAAGAGTATGGATCCTAACAGTTACGAAAGCTTTAAATCTAGAAGCTTTAGGATAACTTTGTTGACACGGGGCAGACGTTCTGCGGTTGCGTCTTACTTCCCCGGAACGTCGGACGACCCTCACAGTGGAGGCTCGTCGTCTCGAGACGCGGGTCGACGGTCTGCGTGGCTTCGCGAGCTGAACCAAGTTCGCTCGCCCCGTTCACGGTCGGTTGAAACTTAACCCCACCACCGTCATCATCATCATCATCGGTACAGTACCACGGATTAATTTCAGCCGGGTCCATCCGGGTCAGAGACCCTGAAAATCGATTCGCGCCCGGCATGCCACGTCCAGTATACATCTCGTTATGGCTGTGGCTCCTGGCATCGCTTCATTTCAGGCGGGTCGAATATTTATGTACCCTGCACAGGACATGCAGTGGCTGCGGGATGGCGTAACCAGCGCCACACTCGACCGCCTTTGTATCCCCGCCACTGACAACACCCCCGCCAGTTCTAAGTCTGAATTTGACCAAGGGAAATGCCCAGGACCGTTTTGGGTGTCACTCGCCGCTGACGTTAGCCGTGAGCGCGAATCGAACTCAGGTAGCCGGCCAGAAGTTTCTATTGGTTGTGCTTACTGATGCCACTCGTTTTATCATTTCGTCATCATCGTCAGCCATGATCAATCCACTGCTGGATAGAGACCTCCCCCTCACCGTCCTTACACGTACACACGAGTTGATGTTATCACAATTGTTTATACGTATGATTTAAACACGCGCTTTCTAAATGTAGTGTTCGCAGTTTTAGTTTGACTTGTATCTGTTCGCTAATTTGTGGCTCAACCAGCAACACTCCTTCAGGTGTCAAACGTCGAATGACCCATCACTGTGGACACAGTCAGACACCACCACGCACAACTGCAAATCAATCAGCGCGAATTCCAGTGACTGCATTTCCCTGGATTGTAAGACTATCTTGAAAGTAAGACGCACCTCAAACTCGTGACCGCTGTCAATGAAGTTGTAAAAATGTGGCTCCACACACAGCTATTGGAATATAAGACGCAAGCACAACCTTTGGTTAAACGCTACTGTATAGGGAAACAGTGCCTCTTTCAGTTTGGAAATACGTACGTTTTTTGCTAAAATAAAAACACGTTTCCGAATGAACAGATGATGTTGGATATTAGACTACAGATGCTGTACCGTAATCCTGAATATTCGTATTTCCATCCATACTTTGATTGCGTTGATTATTTGCCCAGCAAAGCCTTTACAGAGTCTCAAGGCTCATGATGCAGGAGGCGTGCTGCTGCGACGTTGGGATGTTTGTCCAATGTCAATAATGGGAGGAAACCGGGGAAAAGTGCGAGCTCCACGCGTTACGTGGACACGCCCCGGTAACGTGTCCACACAGACGTGTTCATGAACCCTCTTGCTGAGCTTGCAACCCCCCATGATGATCACGTATCAGAGCGCCACGAAGCAGGTCCAAAACTTCCACAAAAGTCCGGGCGCGTGCGTGCGGGCGCGTGCGTCACCGCCGTCTCGGTCAACGAACTCACCTTCAGCTAGCTGTCAACGACGTGACGGGGCGAGCCGAGACGAGATAGTTGGGGGGAGGGGATGAGACGGGACGAGGTTGCGGTGTGCAGGGGTCGAGATGGGGACGCGTGACCGCGGCGAGCCGAGACGAGGCGGAGTTTCTGAAGTTTCCGGCGCGGCCGTCGCTGTTGTCTTTGCCGGCCGGCTCAATCGAGGGAGTCTCTTTCCCTCTCTCTCAACGCCCGAGTCAAAGATGTTCCTTGGTCGTCTGCCGAGTCGTGAGAGGGGCGGCGCGCGCGCGCAGACCTCTGCGAATAACGCCAAGCCCCCTGGCTCCACGACTCTCGTCTCAGCCTGGGCCAATTGCCGGCCATCGCCAAAGCCCCGCGCACGAGTCGGAGGGGGGGGGGGAATGTTCGCTGCGGCCAATCGGCGAGATCTCATCGAGTTGAACATGGGGCTCAAGTGAAACCCATTGGGTTACATCCGTGTGGGATGGAGCGGGGGGGGGCGAGAGACACGGGGTAGGAGGAGACGGAAGGCTTCCGTGTCTCACGCTCGCACACTCACTTACTGACACTTGTGTCAAACAGCCTCTCTCTCTCTCTCCAGCTACTAACCACGGCCGCCCGTCCCACCCGCCCTTACGCACGTGGCCACGCGTGCACCGAGTGGCCGTGGAGAGAAGGCGGCACTCTTGACCCTTCACAAGGATACGGCGTCGATGAATCAATGAGCGTGCACGCGTGCTCCACTTACTGCGCGCCCAGTGGTAGTGTATAATGGCATTGTCTTTGAAAATGATTGGTCCACACCAGAGACAACTTTCTTGAGAGCCTCGTCTCAAACAGTGTTAGACCAGAGGACAACGCCAAAGTTTCCGATCTATTCACAAATCCGAAACCTTGTCACACACGGCAATGCGTTCTTAATCTCGCGTGCATTCGCTCACTTCGAAATGACAATCAAGTATTCACCCCCGCCCCCATGGTTTTGCTGCAGATTTTGGTGGTAGAACGGTCATATTTATAGATGTTTGCATATCCGACCTCCTCACGTATCCGCCTATGCTTCAGAAGGACCACATCGTGGTTCACAGGGCTGAGTATTAGGTGGGCTCGAGTTAATATCCTGGTCACGGCTGACATCAGTGACGAGTGAAGTGACATCGGAGCCGGTCTTGGGCCCACCCTTCACCAACCATCAAGTATGGCCCAAAAACCATCGTGGCTGTCACTGTAACGAGGAGGCCTTCATCCAGCAGTGGATTCACAGAGGTTGAATACTTCTAAATAGTTTATTGATCGTTGCGGTTTTTCCAGGCCACTCTAACATAGGCAGCATTCATGGTTTCCATCAAGAGCCCTAACCCTCCCCCCTCGAACCCCAAGCCCAAGTTATTTGGAATTCGTGGAATCTTGAGAGGGTCTTTCCGACAGTAAGTGGTGGACTCTATACAAACCTGACGGGCAGGGAACAAAGGTGTTCCCACTCGCATTTCCCTCCCAGTGACACCACGTTTCTCAGTTCTCCACCTTATCTACACCGTTGGTACACATTCCACACCGCTTACAACAGAGGCTGGCTTTACTGGTGTGTAGATGCAGGCGACTGCAAAACATCGGGGTTTAAGGATTCAGCACCGGCACGCACCCGATCGGAATCAGATATTGGACGCGGAGCAGGGTTGAGCCTGGATAGGCGACCATCTCTATCTGATGGGATCGACAGCGCCCCAACCAATGTGCCACCGCTCCCCCTAAACCCATTAAATCATCACGATCCATGGGGCAGAGATAGCACGTGGGTATCCACTGCACGTCGTCGTTAGTTTATCTGCACGATTACCCCTAAACCCATGATATGCAAGTACTAAAAATATATATTCGTACAAACGCGATTCGACACAAGTATCGATAAGCTTTGAGAATCGACGTTAATTAATCATTAGATGCATCGTTAAAATACTCGAGCAAACAGCTAAAAACTTTACAGCCTCGTACGAAGCGGTAACGAGGTTCGTCTCACCAGACATGCGTGCACAACACCACAAAGCCACACGGCGGTAATCTCCAGTGGCCATTCGTTTTTATTGTGACGGGTTACATTTCACGTGGCTCGTAAACACGACGCATCCGGGTTGAACGCGCCACAAAGGTTAACCTTCAGTTCCAAAACAACTTCAGCACCCGTGCCTTTGCATGCGATCCGCACGTCTCCACTGTTCGAGCGTTTGCAGACACCAAGGCCGCCAAGTCTCAAATTGGGCGTCCCCATTAACCCCCCCCCCACCCCCCTAAACTCCGACGTCAACCAAATTCTCACGACGACAATGTCCAGAATCATAAACGTCAAAAGGGGAGCTTGCAACACTAAAGTTGCACAGCACCCATTTCGCTAGGACGACCTCCACCATAGCTGGAAGGTCACGGGCCAGCTGTACTCTCTTCACACGAGCGCTGCATCGCATCGAGCCGCCAGCCAGCACTTGAGTGCAGCGCAACGTCGACCGACGAGGTTCCACCGCATGACCTGGACGCCAACGAAAATACCCACGTGCTGTCATCGCACGGCGCCACTGCTTGGCAGAGCGACGAGGCTTTCCCAAGAGTGCCCCACACACACACACAAACAAGAGCCTTCGAATGGAAAAATAAGAGCTGTACGAAAAATAAATCACATTGATATTAAAATTAGATGTTTCGTTTACGGCTTTGTTTACGACCGAGATGTGCAGCGAGTACTAAAAGTTAACGTGACCATAAACGCAAAAGCGGGGAGGTGGGGGTAGTTCAAGCATTATAGGTTCGTCACCACACGCATGCCAAATACTTTGACACCGCTTAAGCCTCTTGGTGTCTGCACTATGGAATTTTTCCATCCATAAGAGACGGCAAGGTAAAGAAAGGGCCTTCTTGTCAAAGGTTTATTGAAGTAGGCGTTTCACATCGATGGTTGCGGGGGGGGGAGTCAGGGTCAGATATGTAAAGGACACAAGTGAAATGTGACGCGTAAAATATCCAAGACAAAAATGAAGATCCTTTAGCATAGGAGAGAAACTTTTTTTTGTTAGGGACCGATCTTACAAGTTGAAGAATCACAGGCGATCGACAGCGCATTCATTTTAAAGAGGTCACTTGCATTGAAAAGGCAACAAGGCAACGGCTCTGCATTAAATGTCGCAGCAAAAGGTGCAAAAACGTAGCATTCTGCAAAGCAACGATTTTCTGCAACAGGTCACATAGGTAATACTATGCACAGTTTTATAAATCCTTCTCTTTATGTGCAGTACTCATGTTTGAAAGGTAACCCCGCAACCACCCCACAGAGGAATAAATTGCTTGACGTACACGTGGGGAGTTTTGGTTTAGCAAACCGCACACTTGGGTTCGTGAAATATGCTCAAATGTTGCAAAATGACATTGCGACCAACGCAACGAAGGCTGTGGCGAGCACCGCAAGTCTCTCTCCTTGTGCCAGCAACGTGACTACAGGACGAAGGGCTCAAAGATCTCCCGGGCACCTGGGCCCAGGGGTCTTACATTCATGAAGAACCCAAGTGGGTCTACAGAAGCAGATCAAGACGGCATGGATGCAATGCTCTATCTAACCAATATCAACACCGCACCTCGCCATAGCGTCCTTCCTTTTTACAAGCTCAACATAACCATGCGATATGGCACACGTACTGGTGTTAACGGCAGCCGTAAGTATGGTAGTTATAAAAGCCACATGGCGACAAAGACCGAGCCCTATACGGACTTTAGCAACCTAAATCGAAACATTTAGCCACAACGCTCCAGAAGTGAACTGACTGCACCTGGGCCGCCACAGGAGTCGCTAGCCCCCAGTGACTGTCAACCCTGCGCACAGGGTCTCACCGAAGTCACCAGGGCCAAGCGGCCGAGTTAGACTCTGACAACGGCAGTGCGGATCTGCTGCTGGGGGAGCCCAGGGCGCGTGGGACGCTCCGCGTCTAATTGTGGAAGCGCTTGCTGGGGTCCTTGGCGTGGTCCAGCAGGAGCTGGCAGGGCGTGAACTGCTCCCCGTACACCGCCTCAAACTTCTTCATCTGCGCCACCAGCTTGTCTGCCCCGTAAGCGTCCACGAACCTGAACGGACCTGCAAATCGCACGCACGCGTAAACATCAGCGCTCGCCCTGTCCGAAGTTTTCTGCATTCCTCACAGCGCTAGACAGGCCCCCAATGGCAAGGCACCCATTGTCGTTGTCCACGATCAAGCCAAAGCTGGATGTCGGCCTCCGAGCCATCACCATCCCTCCGTGATGCAACAATCGATCAAGCACCCTGCACACATAAGCCGACGCTCCATCTCTGCAGCGGACGTCCTCTTTGGCACATTCGGTCCTCTGGATTAGGGTTTGACTGTTAAGGAAAGCAAATGGGCCCTGGCAGGAGATGTTGCGAGAAGGGATGACGGCCGGATGGGGAGAATAACCACGGAGTGGCAAAGTAACCACGGAGTGGCAAAGTAACCAAGGAGTTGAAATAACAGCGAGGAAGAATGTGCGGTCGTAAATTTGTTTTTGCACGATTGTCCTTGGTGGGAGCAACGGAGTAAAAGGGCAGTGCGTGCGACCTTGTTCAGCAACGACGGGAGGTGTCGTCTCGTAGTTTAAACATTAACTTGAGGAAATGACGCTCTTCCAAAGGTTCGTACCGACTTTTTAACAACTCCGACTTCCGCAGAGTTACCTGAAAGTTATTTGTTAAATTTCACGTAGGTTTTCATGGTCAATATAATTACTCATAGTTGTCTTTTAGAAACTCCACAACTATTCCCACAACCCAATTTAGAAATCTACATCTAAATCATTAATATGGTTGTGAGACTTGTTCTTCAACTGGAGAGCTGAAATAATAAAAACTGGTGCGTTAAACACGACAGAGTTTTAATTCTCATGTTTCAAAATCATATGGAATGCGCCTGACCTATATAGATCTCAGAAGCTCAGCTTAGTCGAGCGTGGAAGGTACTTGGATGGGTGACCGCCAGGCTGGGTACGCTATTGGCAGCAGTGGACAGTGCAGCGCAGTCCACTGTTGTGCTGTACTTCTAAGCTCCCACGTCTATGTTCCCAAGCCTTCACACCAAAGCCACACTGACCAGCGTAGTGAAGTAAGGTCAAGAAATCTCCACTACATACATGTGTGGGGGAGCCCACCCCCATTTAGCAGTGGATTAACAAAAGCACTGTATACACACACACGTGACTTTTGAAATGTATATTCTGAGCAGGCAATAGCACTGTTGTTATTGCAAATAGCAGTGTTATATTAACACATTCTGAGCCGTGTGTCGACCAAGTTGACATTATCTAATTATGGACTCTATGTTTTGCATCCCTGTTTTGGAATCACAACCTTGTGCTGGCTACTGTGAAACACACCCTTTACCGGAACTGCTGGTCCCTTCTGGCTAAACAAGTCTAAATTCATTCATCGAAGCAAAGCCCCTTCACAGCGCGTGCCAGCTCCAAGGCATGCGACCGAGAACAAAAACAACAGCCGATTTATGTCCACAGCTCGACACAATTTGTACCAGCACGGTAACCAAAAGCTTCCACAAGCGATCACACCAGCTCATCAACCGAACAAGGTCGGTACTGATTGAACAATCCCCATTCGAGCATGTGCTCACGATATTTACATTTCTACCTACGTGACTTTACCGAAAGAACCAAAGAGTATTACATGAGGAATAGATGATTTACTATTTGTTGTTTGCGAGTGGTTTAGGTAAACCTACAGCTGTAAGAGACTACATGAGCCACGGGGGCAATAGAATGGTGTAAATGAGAAATTCATCCAGATCACAAGCCATGACAAGGTGATCGCTTTATATATATTTTATCTTAAGCAGAGATTCCCAAACTTTTCCCAAACGTGAGCCCCACTTTCCAAAACACTGTTCGCGACCAAAAACTCCCTTGCTATTTTGAATAAGCGCTTTCCAGTAAAAGTAGAGTGACTATGCAACGTAACATGGGGGCTGCACCATGCCTCTTGTAATATTCCAAAATGAAAGAAACTTTAGTCCAAAGTTGTGTTGCTACTTGGGACTAACCCTATGGAAAACTGGCCACACCGTTCAATACGTCCGAGAAACAATTACAACTATATGCGTGTATGCCAACTTGTTTTTCCTCTGTCCATTAGCTTCTGTACTGGGAATGAAACCCTACAAAAGACAAACACACGGTTGGAGACCGTTAAATAATCCTCGTGTAATGCGTGGTTTTTTAAGGTAAAGGCACAGCCCTGCAAATGGTCGCTCATGCCACTGCTGCCGGAAGCACCTCCAACTCAAGGCAGCTTCGGAGCCCTACTTGCTCATGCTGCAACTGACATCTTGGAAGAGGCAGTACCCACACTTGACCCCACCGCAAGCGACCTGCCGATCGACAGTAACATAATCCACGACGTTTCCAAGCTTGTTTTGGTTCATCCCCCGCGCACGGTTTGTTACGATTCACGGTAGCGTTCTCAACCCACGCTGGTGGTCGCGACCCACGCTCTGCCCAACCCCAAAGTGACCGACGCTGGCGGTTATCAAGTGGCGCGGACCTCCCCAGCAGGGCGGGAAGCCCAGGCCAAAGACGGCGCCGATGTCACCCTCCAGCGCGTTGTCCAGGATGCCCTCCTGCAGGCACAGCACCGCCTCGTTCACAAAGCGGCTCACCAGCCGCAGCTGCACGTCCTGGTCCGTTGACCTGGAGGTCACAAAGACATACACACGCGGATTGCTATGAACACACAAACACAATTATTTAAGCATATCCATTCAGAGCGTTGAAATCGAGGTCACATACACGTCACATCTTAACAGGTTAAGCAACTGAACATCTTGAGAACGCATGTTCAGTACAGCTTCGTATGCCTGCGCGACTTGGACATTGAAAAATTCTGACAGAGAGAAAAAGGTTGCACATAGAAGAAGACAACCTGATGATGCAGACCGTTATGAGAAGGAAACTGGCACTATTTGGAAAAACTTTTGTAAGATGGATAACAGGAAAATGTAAAGTGTGTTGCTTGGAAAAAGCAAGCAACCGGAAAGAGAAGACCTAACAGAGAGTGGCTTGATGACGACATCACACGAGATTGGTGCTATAAAGATATGGCACTACTTGAGCATATTGGCACAAGACAGAGTAGAAGTGAAAACGAATGATGAAAAGTGCAGTGGACACCTATGGGCTATCTGGCCATGGATTCTGAGGACGACTCCTACTGGCAAATGAATGCCCGCTTGCAGGCCGGGTGCCGAGTTCCCCGTGCCGCATCGGGTAGGCTGTTGTCAGGGGGGTGCCCTTTCAAATGTTTAAGATGAGAGGCCACGGTGTAAGAGGCGAATGACCGGGGGGAAAAGGGGCTCAGACCGATGGGGTGGCAGCAGAAGAGTGAGGAATGAGACTTCCAGTCTCGCTGGAGGCTTGCTGCAGCGGAGAGTGCGTGGAGGCAAGTCGAGGGGGGATGGGAGAAGAGAGAGGCTGGAGAGTGCATGGAGGCGAGAAGAGTGAGACGAGCGGGGGCAAGTTCCTGCAGAATCATGAAGACAATCTTGAAATCCACCCAGGATTAAAGTGGGAGAGCCAATGGAGGAATGGAGTAATGGGTGATGTGGTCATGTTTACAGGTGCGGCGTCCCTGGGAAGGGAGATGAAGAAGAGGGGGCACATGAACCAAGCAACTCAAGTTCATCACGTGCTTAAAAACCCACACAGACGTGCGAAACATCACGAGAAGGCGGTAGGTTTATGAGCGTTAGCACAACCGTTTTTGTCTACAACGCAGTACTCGCAGCAGCTGGGTGCAAAATTTCATAGATGAAGAGATATAATGTACACACACACTGTATGTAGTACTTGTGGTGTACAAGATCAGGACTCTTGTCTATCAAGTGATGGATGAACGCCTCAACACCTTGCGAGCTGTGGGATTTTATTTGACCATATTGAACCACGTAAGTCAGTGGGGATTTTCCGAATGCTGGCAAAGATGTCGAGTGTGGGTTTTTTTTTTTTTACGGGCAGTGGCGGCTATGCACGTGGCCTGTAATCCAGTACTGTGGAGGTAGTGAGGATTGGTGGAACTCCCTTCCCATGGACGTCGAGAAGGTGCCACAACCCGGCTCGCCAGAAGGCAGAATAGCAAGTGTACGGGGATAGAGCGTTTCCCCCCCCACTCCCCCCACACACACGTGGGTTTTCTTCGGGTGCTCTCGTTTCCTCCCACATGCATAAACACTCATCATCAAAATCAGCTGAAAACATCTTTAAACAAAAACCAATATGGCCTCTGTTGACAACGTAGCGCCGGAGCAACCTACAACACCCGATTTTATTAAGTGGCGGCCCAGCTCAAGCAACTTCATGGCTCAACCAACACTGCTTAGTTTTGATATACGATGAGATCGGCCACATTCCAGGAGCTATTCACAGGCACCCATCACTTGTCATAGCTAGAGGAAGTAGATAGTAGGTAAAGCACAAATGCCAGCAGTAAATCAATACCACAGAATCATTAACCGATTGAGATGTGGCAATCCACATGTATGTGCAAGTTTAGCAGCGCCAGCAAATGTTAACTTCTAAACCTCAAAGGAGGCAGATACTTACACTTCACAGACTTTACTGTACACATTGAGCAAGTATAGCACAACGTGTACAGCCCCGTATTGCCACTCCACTGCTGGATTCGAACCTCCCCATACCCCACGTATTTTGTGGGGGCAAATGTACACCGCTGTGATTATTGTGCGTTGGTACCCATCTCAGCACGCCATCTTGCCTCAACCATCCTTCGTTTCGCAGGTCTAACGAGGTTTGGTGCATTCCGGGCAATGTGGTCACAGGCGCACCAGCAGCATAAACACCACAGATGGTGTAATGGACCCATTAGGATTTGACAATTCACATGGAGGAAGCGGCAATGCAGGAATCAGCAGACCCGCACTATGAATGCAGTCACCAGAGTTTGATTCCCAGCCATGGCTACCACCAGTGGAGAGTGGTGGCAAATTAGTCCTAGGCTACTCCCCTTTTTTTACAAACCCATACTGAGAAGCGTGGTGAAGCATGGTCAAACAATCCCAAGCACTGGAATGGCCTAATGGCCTAGGAAGGCCTTCATTTTTTAGCATTGAAATGACAAAAGGCTGTTAATTTCCCACGTACACACATTTCTAAATCCTATTCAATGTGAACAAGGCGTTAAGTCTCTCAAAAACTTTATAGATTTAAAGTTAGGCACACGCCAATGGGCGTGCCACAGACGTCCTCAAGCAACAATGCGACATTCAGAACAGAGACCTTGGCAGAACGCCCACATTGGCTCTAACGAGTAATTACAGGACAACAGCTCAGCTAATGACCGTGTTCAACACCACTTCAAAACTATGCGGTACTACAGTACGAGAGCCAGTGTCGCCACTCAGATGGTATTTACCATCATCACCACCACTGGCCACTGCCTATCCACTGCAGGATGAAGGTCTTCCCACACCATTGCCATCCCGAACGTTCTACTGTTGCCGCCATCCATCGTACCCTTCGGATTGTGATTGAGTCACAAAATAATAAAATGTAGCAGCTTTAAAACGCATGGGTTTGATCGGTGGCATGCAAGAGTGGCGATCATCACTTCATGGCCGTGTTGGCGGTGACAATTATGACATGAGGGGCCAGGTTGGACTGGCACTGGTGGGTCCATAACCCCTGGTGGCAATGTTTCGGATGCCAGCCAAGACAGCGACAAACGGCTAGATGCCAGCCAAGCAACACCCCCACACACATAATTTACAGAGCACACACGGATGCTGATGAGCGTTGTTGTTCTTCTGCGAATGTTTCTCTCTCACAGGAACTCTTTCGCAGCCCATGACGAAATGAACTGGACATCTCCCCAAACCACGTAAGACCTCGCAAGCTAAGCAGGCCACTGCAGAGCACCTTGGCCACAAATCCACACTATTCCAGCATGGCGAGGTATGGTCAAACAACCCCAATGACAATAACGGTATTCGGAGACCCTCATCTGGTGGTGGCTTGACAAACTGTACTTGGACAAAATTTTACAAATTATTCATAAATAAAAACAAATGGGAGGACGAAATACTAAAATTGGACTACGAAACCAGAACATGCACATAGCCTGCTCTAGACCACAAATAAAGCCAGAGGATCGTCAACATAAACGTGAACGGTAAAGAGTGGACATGTTCACACCAACGGCACTGTTCGCGCGAACGCGATTGGTCGGTCACGTGCCCAACTCACACTTCAGGCTTGGCCACAAGCTTGAACTGCGCCAGCACCTGCTCCATGCCATCATGCACCAGTCGCTCCTTCTTGCCCGGCTGGTACACGTAGCAGCCCTTGCCCGACTTGCGTCCTGATGTGCAGACAATGAGAGGCAAAGATCCCCCTATAAGCTCAAGGGAGGCTGCCATGCACAAGCATTATTTTTCTTACGTGTGTGTGTTAAATTCATTACTGCGAGGCTGCGTTGAAATTTGGCTTAAGACAAAACACACATACACTCACAAAGACAAAGATCCCCCGTATAGCCCACACACACTGTTGAAGCAAGTGCTGCAAGCGAGCACCTATGAAAGCTAAAATGGTGCACGAGGTGGGTGGTGTGTGTGGCAAGCACCACTCCCAGCCACCTTTGTCTCTCCAGTGGTAATTTTTGCACACTCAGTTATTGCCGAGTAAACTTAGGAGAGGCCCAGGACTGGTTTAGATATTCATGACCAAAGTTAGTCGCGAGTGGGAATCGAACTGTCCGCCAAGTACGTAGCACAGTGCACTAATGACGACACTACCTCAACTCCCCATGCACATATAAAAACCATAAAAAATAAAAAGTTCGCACATTTAACTTCATAGTTAAAGCAAGGGCTGTAAGTGAACACCTATTAAGGCTAGTGGTGTGGTCTTCTGACCTAAGAAGCTGAACAGGGATGAGCCAGCATAGTGCCTGGATTGGTGTCCACGAGGAACATTTGGTGTTGTAGGCTGCAGAGTTACACAGGCTGTGCAGCAAAATCCAATGTTGTACTGTTCTTATTTGCTCCTCTTACTTGATCAATCGGCAATGACCAGCACAGTAATGTATAGTAAAAAGATCCCCCATGACCCACAGACGATAGGCCATTCCCGATCCAAAAGAGGAACGATGTACGTATATTATTTGGGTGGCAGTAATTTTAGGTATTAACTTATAGGCTGTAATGCTGTTAAAGAGTCGCTCTCGGCTGCCTAGTGACCGTGTTGCTTGCGACTACTGCGGCTGCCCTTTGGCTGCGAAGGGAGCAACAACACGTCACGATGTCAACCTTTATCCCAATGACGACCGGCACAGAAATACCACCCACGATAGCGAGAACCATGCGTCGATATCGCTGGTCCAACAGTCCAAGCAATAAACGCAGTCAAGGCCAAAAAAGAATTCCTTGCGTACATGCGATTACTGCCGAGCCATAGAGCTAGCACCAGAAGATAAGCTGCGTACTGGGCAGTTTTACTTCAAAAATAAATATGAATTACGCAGGACATATAAAATGTATGCATCAGAACACGCAGAAATTTGAGCACATTCCGGGCGATTTGGCAAAAGGTTTCAGCCACCCTTCACGCCTTGTGACCAGCGAAACAGTCGCCCAGCCAGCACATGTGAAACAATGCCGTAGCAGCATGTATGTTGAACTTCTTTCGCACAGTATGTCAAAAACAATGCTCAGAGGTGCGGTGGAAGGAAAATGAACAAAACACAAAAAGCAGTTTCAAAGAAATGAGTTTTCAATCTATATTTAAAAGTGCATAGCTTCAGTGGCTTCCTAACATTGGAGGGAAGAGCGTTCCAGACGGCCGCAGGAGCGCATCCGAAAGCGCACGATGCAATGACCATCTTTGTTCGATGGCAGAGCCAAAATTCCGCTGCTGCGAGAATGACCGGAGTAGCAGCACGTGGCACGAGGAGCAGCACGATGAGGCAGCGCAAGTGTACAAGCAGTGCGCGCACGCACGCACGCACGCACCCAGGAAGCCCTTGGACACCATGGTCTTGAGGACGCCCACGTCCCCACCGCCGAATCGCGAGCCGAATGCCTTTTCCAGGTCCTCGGCCACGTGCGCCGCCACGTCCAATCCCACCTCGTCGGCCAGCGAGGCAGCCCCCACGGGAAAGCCGAAGCCCGTCGTGAGGCTGTCCAACTTCTTCGGGCTGATGCCCTCCTGCGTGGTGTGGTGGGAACGGGCAAGAGCAACAACAGGGAGGGATCAAGTTTGGTGGGCGATCGTCGCACTCGCTGCTCTATTTTAAGTGTTGATTCTCGTCAAGATTATTGCGTGAAATTGCCGATCATTTTGATAGCGAATCAATGGTCAGGATAATGTACAGGGTTGGCATCAAGGCTGCATGACTATAGTGAGGGCAAGCCAGAGCGCAACGTTGCGAGGGATGCCAATAATCTCCTAATTTAATGAAATTTAGCTGTTAAAGTAGTGTCATAAAAGCATCCTGCAGTGGCACTTTGCTTTCCACAACTGACAATGCCACCGGACATAGATGTACGTGTCGCCACTGTACAAAAGCCCTGTGGAGATACTGTGTTGTTCGTGTTTTAAAAATTAATTTCTGAGTCACCGACGGCTGGACAGTGCTCCAATGCGAGACCTATCGGAGCATGCCAACAGTTGCGTAGCCCCAGAGTCTAGGAACAAATCACTCGGGATAGCACCTGATGGTCAGGTCTGGATTGTGCTTCGATTGGTGGCCTCCAGCAAATTCACTCACTTGCAAGGTCCTGATGGCCTCGGCTAGCATGGGGGCCAGGCACCTCGTGGTGTAGAATCCAGGCCCATCCTGCACACATGCGAAGACATAAAAAAAAATATTACGAAGATGCACTCCAACAGTGTTCTTCATTGCAGAGCCTGCAGGCCACTGGCAGCCCCGGACGTGCGGCCCCCCCAACAACACACAAATGTGAAGACACCCCCTCTGCAGGCAGTGTGGCAGCCCTCGCACTGATGATGTCTTATCGGTGCAAGGGGCACTTGCTTATAGTGCAGTGAAGAACACTGTACTATAAGCTAGGATTCAGGTATGCAAGGAATCATTTGTTAAATGAACTTACTATATTCGTGCCCGTAAATAAAATAAAACTCATTTCTGATTTATATTTTAGCGCACAAAACGAACACCACAATCCTAAAATCTATTTGTTGTTCTTCACGACGACACTCAATGCGCCAGGTGATCATCACAAAGGAGAAGTGCATCTCAATGACTCGTCACCTAATTATAAAAGTGAATGTACACGAGTGCGTGGAGGTGGACCAGTGGGGAATTGATTAACGCACCTCTGATAAGCATGGTTGGCTACGTACGGTGCGAAAGTAGTTCAACATATATACAACGCACCGCACTACGAACACGACCAAGGCCAAGTACAGTGCAGAACGACATCCGAACTATTTCTGGGCCACCCCCATTCATCAACCTGCACTTGCCAGTGTGAAGTATGGTCAACCCACAGCGTGGGGGAGGCTTTCATTCAGCATTTGACCAACAGAGGGCTGTACATTTGCTGTGCAAGTACGAATGCCTTCGAGTCGCAAGGCAGCACAACCGGCCTAGCGTCCCACCTTGACGATGATGATGACCTTGCCCTGCTTCAGGCCCATGGCCACGGCGGAGGCCGTGGTGTCCTTGGACGTCTTGTCGGTGGTGATGATCTCCAGCAGTTGCATCTTGTCCACTGGTGAGAAGTAGTGCATGCCGATCACCTGCCATGCCACAACGACACACACGCACACACATCGATACCCCCGCCACCCCTTTTAACCTCATTCGTCAAGGTGGATCGGTGGCGCAGTGGTTAGACGTATTGCGCTATGAACCCGGCAACCAGAGTTCAACTTCCAGACTTGGCTAACTTTAGTGTATGCAGAACTTCTTTTTCACCGTACGAAGCCAACCATGCTAATCGGAGGTGCGGAGTGGCGAGTGATAGCTGAACGAGTCCTGGGCCAACGACACCTGAACTAGCCCGGTACTTCGAGGACACTGCAAACGTCTCTAGATGTTTGCCAACACCTTCCAGGCCTTCGCTGACAACGTTTCAGTCCCCCGTGTGCTCCACCGAGTGACCCACTTGGCAGCCCGGTCACGGCGCTGCGCTCGCAGGAGAGAGAGAGAGAGAGGGCGACTCACCTTTTCGGGGCGCTTGCTTGCAGCGGCGATCTTCGCGATGGGCAGAGCGGACGTGTTGCTGGCGAACACGCAGTGCGGGGGAATCACCTGGCACGGGCGAACGGCATCGTCGACAACGTCAACATTGACTTCACCGCCGTACAATGAGCGCGACGCCAGGGGACCGTGGCACGAAGCGCACAAGAGAGCGACTCGACTTGAAAATGCCATTTCACACCCCGTGCCGCTCGTTCCATAACAACAACTCGATCATCACAAATCAACAAAAGATCGTTACGTAATGTTTTTTTTACGCAACCAGCCACGAGTTTCCCTTGCATTGTTATTACAGATTGTTGGTGAGCAGTGTGGGAAATGTGGTGTACGAGGCACCTTGTCCGTCGTTTCATGTCACCGCCAAACCTGCGCAACTCGTGTTTTTATTTTAATTTCATGAAATTTATCTTGCCATGTACAGCATTTAGACACTTAATCAATTCTAATAATTGGAGTCTGTGGGCTCCCGCATGCTACGGATTGAAAAAAAAAATTCTCAAGAGCGATACTCTTGTTGAAACATGTCGAGATTTTGGTCAGTACACCCGTCGTCATTTTGGCCGAATGGTCACATCCATTTTGGCATCATGCGGAATGTCGCAGGCAAGAAGAATCACGTCGAGGTGCACGTGGGGAGGGTGCGGGGGTGAGGGCGGGGCGCTCACCGCCTCGATCTCCTTCATGACGCGGTGCTTGAGATCCAGGTCCTCAAACACGGCCTCAATGACCATGTCGGCCGTCTTGAAGCCGTTCAGGTCGAGCTGGGGGTGCAGGTGCGAAAGGACTGTGTCACGTTCGAACGTGGACAGCGTCTTCTTCTTCACCTTGTCCGACAGCCTGCGAGCCGGGGGACGACGACAGTCGAGGTTACCCACTCGGCGCGTAATGAGGCCATCAGTTATTTTAAAAAAAGAAAATTCTTTTACGCAGCTCTTCTCAAAATCTGCACACTGGGCGATTTCTGGATCTTTAAAAATATTAATTTTGCACAACGTCTAGATGAACACGCAAATATTTTTTGCATATGTTAAGTTGTCAATTATTTTATACAGAACGTGTGCAAAGGTGTGCCGCCTAGTGGGAACATCAGGCCCATTGAACCAACTTCAGAAGTAGTTCTGAAATTCCACGCTTCTTCTTTGAGACTGGTTGATTCACCGCTCACCGCTTCTGTGTTGCACCATTTGTTTCCAAGAGTTCCAAATGTAAAATGTTTTTGTCTCACGATTGCCAGTTCAACGGTTCCTCTTAAACGTCGCAAGGGTGGAGTGGTGGTTGCAGTTGTTAACAACGCACCGCGTTACAAACCCGGCTCCCTGGGTTCCAGTCCAGGCCACGGACAACACCGGTGGTGAGCAACGCACTAAACATTCCCAGGCACCACCTCCTTGCACGAACCGGCACTGTACCAGTGGTGAAGAAGTATGGCCAAACAACCCCACATAGACTAACGCTGCACGTGGCCTTCATCCAGCAGGGGCTATCCAGATATGCGATATAAGCTCCATGAAAAAATGCCATTCCTCCCTCTGACTGAGCGGGGTCCATGGGGCACACACCCCTTGTAGATCTGCTGCTGTCCCCGGCCCAAGCCCTCCATCGAAGTGTCCTTGAGGATCACGCTGACGCCCTTGTCAATGGTGACCTGAGCGATGCCGGCACCCATCAGTCCGGCGCCGATCACCGCCACCGTTCTGACACGCGCACAAAGACAAAAGACAAAGATCCCCCGTGTAGCCTAAACAGACTGTTGGTGCAAGTGCTGTTAGCGAGCACCTATGAAGGGCGGCACGGCACACGAGGGGGTGGGTGGCCAGCACCACGCCCGGCCGCCTTCGTCTCCGCAGTGGTGATGTTTACACACCGCACCAGGTAATCATTTGAGGCCGATTCGACCAAGAAGGAGGCCCTGGACCAGCTCAGATATTCGTCACTGGTGTTGGCCATCAGCGGGAATCCCCGCACACACAGGCATACATAGCTCTGATGTCACCCGTGCCATAATCCGCTTACAAGACAGTTGACACTTGGGCAATAATGACAGACACCAGGCACATGTTTTAAATGCCACTACAGATACCAGTTACTTAGAGGTACGCGTGCACTGGCGAGCACATATCGCCCTCTTCTTATTTCGATTGGCTGATGTAGATGCAGCGCAACTACAATTTCACATTCAGGTGGTCAAACCAGATTAACCGATTGCCAATACTATGCCAGGCGACAGTCTCCCCCGGCAAAAAAATTAATGTGTTGTCTCACTTGCTTTCGACTTGCGGTGGAAAGACTTAAGGCAAGGATTTTGTGAAATAATGTGTAAATATAATATTTTTTTATTGTTACAGCTTAGATTACTGGCGAATTTACATTCATTCCAAATACGTGGCAGGAGTACGAGAGATGGCGAGGCCTTGCGGAGGCCTTCATCTAGAAGGGACTGATCATGGCCGATGATGACAATGATGACGAGTGAATGAGTAGGATGGCGTCTCAACTCACTTTGCCTGTCTCTCGGGCACACCGAATCGGTTCTTCTTGCAGGCCACCTGGCCGTGGTAGAGTCCGATGAGGGCCCTCGACTCCCGCGTCATCGCTAGCTCCCCGAATGCCTACGCGGGAATGCCAGGGTCAGGCCTTCACCCTCCACCCGCTTTCGTTATCAAAAACACATCATCAGGAGGTAGGACAACTTACTGGAAAGCTGTGCGAGCCCACGGTGAGAAATATGCTCAAGCAGAAGAGTATATTATAATTTGTCAATCCACTGCTGAATGAGGGCCTCCCCATGGTTCGTGGAGGTTATTTGGCCATACTTCACCATGCTGGTAAGTGCGGGTTGGGGAAAGCGGGGAGCACAGATGTACAGGACAATGACGACTTTGCTGAAATCCTCCCTGTAGCCCACAATGTGGCTCCGTTGACCCGAATGGCATAGAGAGGCCCTCATGCAGCAGTGGATTTAGAAGAGGGATGTACACGTATACGTGTGCATTGCGGAGGTTAATAAAAAAAATAATCAGAATACAATTGAAGGGAAACTTGGGAACAAAATAACCCACAATTCTTCTCACAGAAAACTCATGTTAGCTTCATTTGGAACAATTTCCAATCGTCTTTAAATAGATTGGTATTGTATTATGTTCCACAGATGGTCGCACTGATGTTATAAATTAGATTTTTTCATTGACTTAACCCACTTGCTCTCAACAGAAGACTACTTTCCGGCCAATGAGATTGTTTCGGTTAGCAAGCAGTTTTTTTTTTTCCTGGACGCTCCCGAATGAATGAGAGGGGAAGAATCAGCACTGCAATTAGAAGGCCACAAACCTCAAAGCATTAACTCTACGCGTGCACTTGCCGTGCCCTCCCCTTCAAGGGTAAAATCATCTCTACCTTGTGCTCCGCCGCATATCCAGCAGGAAGCCCCTGCTCCAGGCCGGTCTTCACCACCTGCAGCAAAACAAAAATGGGCGGGGGAAAAATGTCAAGAATGTCGCTACATCTGGACGCAGCCGAGATTTTCACAAGACAAGGGCGAACGGTGGACGTTAAATAAGCGCGGTGACGCTGGTGGCACAGTGGAAGCGCGTTGGTCCTGCTTGTGGCGGAGGTTTTCCTATCCGGCAGGCCGCCCCGGTTATTGCTCGAGGTGGATTTAGCCAAAATATATGACATGCCGTCTGCTTCGGGTACCGTACGGTTCAAGATCCTGTGACGTCGATTGAAAAGAGGAGGCCATTGTGTGCCAACTTTCAAGGCCCAAATTTGAAAAATAAACCTTAAAATTACTCTATTGGGATCACAGATCAACCTCGCCCACCAACTATGAAAATACCGCAGACCAGGTCTGTGAAACACAGCGCATTCGTGATAGTCCTGCCCTATAAGAAAGGCGCAAATACCAAATGTACCAAATTATTATTTTTGTGGTATGTTAATGCTCTCAAACAACGTGTACAGAGGCCAAGGGCAGCGATCAAAGTATGAGTTGCAATTTACGACCAGCTGACAACTCGCCAAGTAACATTCACATAAAATGTCATACCCGGATTGTTATCATGCAATTGTATAACAGACATTGTCCAGCAGCAGATATATAAACAGACGAGGATGAATCGAGGGTGTTGACTCGCCTCAATGATCTTGAGTGGTGCTGGGTACAGCCCTTTGCTCTGTTTCATCACCATGGCGAGCACCCTCTTGTAAATCTGCTCCCGGACGAACGCGTAGCCCATCACCCAGTCCTGGACCTCTGTAACAAACAAACAAATGCAAAAACGCGCAATATGGCGAACAAATCTATCTTACAGTCACGTTGAACCAAAGCGTGCATTGCACGTTTCATTTACATTTAACCATTTCACAAGAGCGAGTTCGTATTTGACATGTGTGTAATTAATTCAATCAAGGGTGGAAAACCAATGGTCCAAGTCTTGGTGTCAAAAGGTGACTGCGACCACACAAGGCCTACTACTTTTAAAACGGCCGGCAAAGGAGATCTATCCATCAGCACAAGCAACTTAGCTGCCCCAATCGGGTACAAGCGCGAGGAATATTCTAGACCAGACAACAACACCGCGCTGCTAATTTTATCACTACGTCACTTGTATCTCAAGTAGTTCTGCGTGTAGTCAATGCACACAGTCCTAGCGTAATCAAAGTTAAGTGTTAACAAGGTGTGGTGCCCACCAAATAGGAACCGAAAATCCTATTCGGCCCTCTGTGAGAAAAAGGTTGCCACCCCCCCCCCCCACTCTTGGGAGTTGGCGCCACGGTGGAGAGATGTTAACTCCTTCACCCGGTATGCAGGAGGTCGTGTCGGTTCAATCCCGACCAAGACCCGACGCCTGTATAGCTGGAGTGTTAGCGTCCCTCTTCCCTGTGGTCGCGTGGATTTTTCTCCGGGTCCTCCAGTTTTCCTCTCCATATTTAGAAGAGTATTAGGCTGCTGTACATTTCCACGTGATGAGCCACTTCGTTGAGCTATAATTTGTGTAAGCCAGGTAGACTTCTGAAAAAGCTTACTATATAGCTCAGTGGGCCTTACCTGGTAAAATAAAAAATAGTTAAGTTCAGTGCTTTAAGTTGAGTGATGGAGAAAGTCACGCGGTGTGTACAGGGCAGCTAAGGCTCACTCTGCACGAGTCCCTTCTTCTTCTTGTTGGAGAGACGCTTGGCGGCCAGATCCTGCGCACAGGTGATGGCCACCTCCTCCAGGTACTCCAGCGTGCGGTCTTGAGGACTCTTCAGACCTGGGCCTACACACGTGTGCGTAGGAGACGCGAATCACCCGTGTAGGCCTTAACAGACGGTTCGATCAAGTGCTGTTACGCGAGCACATGCCATTGTGCGCAAAGACAAAGATCCCCCGTATAGCCTTAATAGACTGTTGGGGCAAGTGTGGTTCGCGAGCACTTGTGAAGGCCGGCACGGCACACCAGGAGGTGGGTTGTCAACACCATGTCCGGCCGCCTGTCTCCCCAGCGGCAATGTTTGCACACCGCACCAGGTACTCATTTGAGGCTGAGTCGACCTAGGGGATGCCCATGATCGGTTCAGATAATCGTCACTGGTGTCAGCCGCGAGCAGGAATCAAACTCGGGTAACCGGGTTCGTAACGCAGCGCGCTAACCGCTACACACATACACAGGCCCACACATCTATTTAGACAGTATAGAGGAAGCGGTGCATATATTGTAAAGCAGTGTATGTTTACAGAATGCACAATGGTCATGGTGCCTATTTGCTATGAAAGTGAGAATATTAAATTACAATGTCTATATCTGGCAAGCATCCAATGCTGGTTTTAAAACACTAAGTGTATGGAGCCGCCTGGGCATACCCCACCTGCCAATATTTAGAATTTTTGTTTCTTCTTTAAATAATTATACATTTATTTTTGTTTACTCAAGAAAGCCACGATTGGGAGTCCCACGGTTCTCTGCTCACAGTTGAACCAACTGCTCTGTTTGTCAGATTTAGACTGCCAAGTGGAACCAGTATCTCCTTCCAACCAGCCCTGTGATAAATAAAGGTATTATAATTAAAACCAACTCTTTATATTAACCGGGGCAGTGACACGGCCAAACGCTGGCACATTCGCTGCTTGCTGCTGAGGCTCGTGGTTTGGATTGCAAACACATCGGTAAGCAAGCCGATTGCTTTAAGAAGCATTGAAGGCACGTACATTATCCATCTTCACCTCCATTCTAAGTAAGAACGCAATATGTCACCATCCTACTTTACATATGTTTTGCATGATCTACTTCTTTGTTTTCACTGGGCCACCCCTCCACCCCTCCCCCATTGCTCTGAGCAATTGAGAGTTCACTGTATATGGAAAGAGAAAGAACACAGTACCCAGAGGGTCGATAAGCTGGTCCACAAGCCCCATCTTCTTGGCACGGTCCGCACGGATGTTCTTGCCAGTCAGCATCATGTCAAAGGCGGTTGGCAGACCCAGCTGTGCTCCGCACAACAGAGGAGATACATATTAATTTCAATGTCACATCGACATTATCCACGTTATTTACGTAATAACCGATTATGGTTGAGTGTCGATATTGCTTGGAAGGGTGATCAAAATGCATAAAGGAGTTAGATGCTGTTGGGTTTATATGGTGGGGCAGCAGAGGGCAGTGCGGCAAAATCCACAATTGTACTGTACTACTATGCTCCCACCACGCCTTTGGTCCCCTGCTCCCCTCGTATCCGGCCCATGTGCAGCGTGCTCCTCGTCCCCAGTGCTTCACACAGTCCTCACCATCTTGGGCAGCCTCTGGGTGCCACCGGCGCCCGGCAGGAGACCCAACATCACTTCCGGGGTGGCGAGCACAGTCTTGCGGTCCTTGGTGGCCACACGGTAGTGGCAAGCGATCGCCACCTGGCAATGGACAGCAACACAGCGCCAGTCATTGTCCCGTGTTTTTTTACACTTTCCAACGAAGGTTGAAAGCGCGAGGAGTGAAATCATTATCGTTAAGATGATCCAAAACAACCAACATTCGAGTATAAAGTTGTGTTGCTGTTAGCGACTTAACATGTAGAAGCAGGCCAAATTTCTAAATGGGTTTCTCACAACGCGACGATAGAAAATCATCTGAAAATGGATAAGCCAAGATGGCGAGTGTGTGCGAGTGTACAGCTGTGCGTATATACGTATATCGGTGTGCGCGCATCAACTCGTTTGATCGTCATTGTGCCACCTCCACGCATCTCAACATCACACGTAGCGCGTGTGACCCTCGGCAACACGGCTCTGCTTGTGCAGTGGACGCACAGCCTGTGTCTCTCTCCCGACTCGTGGCAGCCTAACCCCAGAACGGCTCGGATGTGACAGTGGGAAAAGGAGGAAAAAAGGAAACAGTCTCACCTCCAGTCCTCCGCCCAGACATGAGCCACTGATGGCCGCTACGACGGGCTTGGAAGACTTTTCCAGGTCGGCGAGCATCTTCTGGCCCTCCTGGGAGAGGAGGGTCACTTCCTCCGACGACTTGCACGACTCGATCATGCTGCAGGGAAGTAAGTAATAATAAAACACAACACGGGCGGTCAACAAACACATGAAATAAACTAATCTGTTCCAGTCTGGGCATGCGCATTTGCCCAAAAGAAGCGCGCATTCGCCAGAGAGAGAGCACCGGAAAAGGCAGTGTGCACACAGGTGGTATTTTCTGATAATAACAAGGGGGCATTTTCTGGGTCATGTCTTCCTTTAGCACAAGCAGTGCGGCCTACACACGTGAGCACGCAAGCGCACCACCCACTTGATGTCAGCGCCAGCGATGAAGCAGCCGGGCTTTCTTGAGATGAGCACGGCGCTCTTGATGCTCTCGTTGGCCCACACCTCGCGCATCACTTCCGTAAACTCTGCCTGCATCTGCTTGGACAGCGTGTTCACCTGCAAGGGAGGGGGGGGGGGGGTAACGAGCAACTCCACATTGATACGCCCAATCTTGTCAGATTCTTGAGGCCAAGCAAGGCAAAGTGTGGCTAGTTCTTGGCTAAGTAAACCGCCATGCCCAGCAAGTTGTTATCGGCTGTGGGATACGTGGTGGGCAGTAGTAGAATACAGAAAAGTCAGCTGTTGTACTGTACTTCTATTCTAATGTGTCAATGCCACCCGCCTTTACCAACCCACATGGTAAAATAAGGTTAAATAATCCACAAGGCGTGGGAAGGTCCTCATCCAGCAGTGGATTCATAAAACTGTACATATTAATACAATCACAGCTTGAGCTGCTTTGTGTGCCGCAAGCAACGCATTGTTGAAGTAGAAATATATGAATATGAAGCGACGCATCATAGCAATTTGTTACCTTGGAGTTTGGCGTGTCGAACCGCACGACAGCCACATCTTGGTTCTTCACCTCATAGCTCACGTGCGTCCGCTCTGCGCACACAAGCAAAGTGCATGGTCAGAGCTGGCAACATTTGAATTCTCCCCGTGTCTCAATCTACATCGCAATCCTTTTGTCAATCCACTCCTGGATGAGGGCCTCCCTCTCCACACCGCTTGTTGGTCATGGGGGTTATTTGACCATACTTCACCCGACCGCCGAGTGCGGGTAGGCGATGGCGGGGAGCAGACGTTGGAGCATAGTACGGTACAACAATGTGTTATGCTGCACTGCCCCTCAGCTGCTGCCGCATCCCTACAGCAGCCTATTGCACCCGTTTGATGCATTGTGGTCACCCATCTCAGCACTTGCGAGGCTTTTTACTTCCTTAGCTTCCAAGATCTGATGAGATCAGGAAGATTAGGGGCGATTCTGTAATACGCTACATGTTAACGACAGCATGGTGGGCTACGTACAGCGTGAAATAAGTTCAACGTACATACGTACATGCGTAAAGGCAGTATGTTTTATTTTTTAAAGTTGAATATTGCATGCCGAGCACGTCGTTTTAAATACATCATGTGTGCGTTGTCTACATTACTCGCTCAAGATGATCTAACTTACCACACATTGTTGCTGACGATGAGAAGTATCTACTTGTTCTCCCTGCAAAAATAAACAAAACAAGGTTACTAAAACTTGATTTGAAGCTTTCGTGACTGCAGGAATTACTCTTTGGTTCTTTCGGTAAAGTCACGTAGAAAGAAAATTTAACAATATAATACGACGGTTTGATTGCAACACAAGCAATCGTCATCAGGTATAACTAAATTTGAGAGACAATATGTTGTGTGTCTCTCTCTGTGTGTCTATCTCTGCTTGTGTGTCTGTGTTGTCTCTCTCTACTTGCGTCTCTGTGTTGTCTCTCTCTGCTTGCGTGTCTGTGTTGTCTCTCTCTGCTTGCGTGTCTGTGTTGTCTCTCTCTGCTTGTGTGTCTGTGTTGTCTCTCTGTGTGTCTCCGTGTCTGTGTTTTATCTCTCTCTCAAATTTAGTTCTACCCGATGACGATTGCTTGTGTTGCAATCGAAACGTTGTATTCTATTATTTAATTTATTTTCTTTCAACGTGACTTTACCGAAAGAACCAAAGATATAAAGTTATTAAAACAAATAAATGTACATAATGCATATGCACAACAGTGGTCATACACTCAGTAACTGCCAGATGTTTACAAACTTGGACTTTGCATTACTTGGTCATGGACGTGAATTATTGCCTAAATTATAAAACTCTGCAATCACAACATTGCTCTACAACAAGACAGTAATTATAATATATTATAATATATATTGGGGGGGGGACACATCCCCCCCCCAATATTCAAATATATTGCTTTAAAAAAGAATTGCTATGCTATGTAAATAAAAACAACAATTTGCTAAACCTTGGCCACAATATTTGGACTTGTCTCCATATAAATCAATGCATAGATTTCTGTTTATATGATTGTGGTTATGGTTGTACTTTATTAATCCTTAATCTCTGCCATTACAACAATGAAACAAGAAATGGTAAAAAAGCAAAAACAAAGCAATGTAATACAATACACTATTAGACATTATTGTAAAAAATAAATAAAAAGTCCATCCCATGTGTTCGTGAATTTTTTGCTATTTTAGGCAGGAAATTCGTTTTCAAATGTAGATATTTTTCTGGGTTGGGACCCCCAGACACCCTGGAAGATTTGGTCCCCCCCAATGTTGACTCCATGGCTATGGCCTTGCTCTACAACACCATATTTTTAAAAGAAAAGACGACATGTGCATGGACTTTATAACGCTTTCCAATGTGCGTTTATCCTTTAAAATAAATTAGTGATGATAACTTCACGAGATGATGTCACGGGAAACGATGATAAATATGACAATGCGACGTCATCACCTTTGCCACCACCACCACCAAGACAAATCGTTTAAGCGGTGGTTTGATTGCCAATTTTTTGGCCAACTCGGAAACATTTTATTGGTTTTCTCAAGACAGGGAGTTCTGTCGGCAATCAATTTAACAAGAGAAGGCATTTTTATTTCACGAGCCACAAAGCACGTGAATATGAGACGGTGGGTCCTTAATGAATAACGTCACTAAGCAGTTTCCTGAAGAGCCGCATGCAGTTCCGAAGCCGCAGGTTGCCGACCCCTGCTCGAGACTAAGCCCTAATACCAACACAAATTTTCGCTCAAATTTAATTTAAAATGCCCCCCCCCCACCCTGTCAGATGGACAAAGCTAATGCATCAACGTTTTCAACTTGAGATGAAAAGCATTCAAATGGAGGCTCCAGCTGATGAGCCAAGGCAGACGACACGGCTCTTTCTGTAGACGCGCGCTGACGAAAGAGCTCGCGCAAAGCTTCGGTGGCAGCAGATTCTTTGGCATAAAACTTCCCAAGGATTAATTTATTCAGCCAGCGGCCGAAGCACTGTACCAGATTATCGAAAGCAAGACGAATATTAAACCAGTTAATTCCCAATCCACTGCTGCATGAGGGCCTCCCCACGCCGTGTAGGGTCCGCGCGTGTTATTTTACCACAATTCGCCACGCCGATCAGTGTGGGTTGGTGAAGGCAGGGAGCACAGATGTACAAGCGCGGAAGAGCACATCGATAATGGATTTGCTGTACTGCCCTCTGCTGCCCACAACATGCCACAGTCCCATGGATCACTGTCATGCATCCAAGAATTGAACGGGATCAACGGTTGCTTTGCATCTCATGAGATTGGGCGTGTCGCAGGAGATTTGCTCAGCGGCACGAATATTCAATAAGACGAATCAACGGATGTGTCGGGGGTTTTCTATGCGTTAAATAAACTACGGTACAAACACGTAACTTGAATCTCATACCACACTTGACAGAAAGAGTGAACAATTTTTTTTGTATGTACGGTATTGAGTCAGTTATTGCTAGAGGGGGGAAGAGAAAATGTATTTGACTTTGAACGGTTGCAGGGACTCAACAGTACAGGCTGTTCATTTAGTAGTTAATTTATTAGGTATAGCCCTGTGAGCCATTCGGCTCTTGATGGGGGAGGGAAAGTTCTAGACAATGGGAGCAGAGTGAAATAATGACAACATTCATATGATATTATATATCGAAATGATATCATATTTATGATATCGAAATGTCACTGTGCTCATTTACAGCTGTTGCCACGAGTTAAAAGAGTAAAACTAGAAATAACACGCATGACCCCGACAATGGCATTCAGCTGCAATTTACATGGGGTCTGACATACAGTATCCACTTATATTTAAACAACTATTTGTGATCCCTCCATTTACCAAGCTAAACCCGTACGACTAAGTGTGCCCTGTCGCCGACGCGGTGGAGGGCGGGCGGGGTTAGACCATTCACAAGCCAACATTGGCTCCAACACGAGTGGGCGAGATTTAAAGCTGAACTCGAGCGACTTTGTAAGCGACTGCATAGCAAGCCAAGTCGGACTAGCCCCGCACATAGCCACCGCCCATTCGACGAATGGTGACGGGTCTGGGTTAAGATTCAACTCAAGAATCGATTATTATTTACCATATCATTTGTGAGGTTTTTTTTCCTTGTAACGTCTGCATATTATTTTCATGAAGTGTAAATCATTTCTAACATGGTGTTATGTATCAAAAGTGTCGAAAACTATTTAATAAAGGATTTATTTGCGATGATAAATGTAAGTTTTGGTCACTCGGCTATGATAATTATTAAATTGACATAATTTTCACAAGTCACGAATAACACATTTTCACGTGCAGAATTCGATGTGTCTCCTTGGGTACAAGAAAGAATTTGAAACAGACGAATCGATGCCTTGTTAGATAACTACTTCAAATAATAACACTGCACAATCTCGGTGTCGAGTCCACGCAGGGCGGGAGGTGGGCTGGAATTTTCCAGTCGACCCATTAAGCTGTCCTTCGGGAAAAGCAATGTGGTTGTTGTTTTAGGGGCAAGCGCTCATTCTGTTAACTACCCTGGGGTAAATATCTAACCAATGGCATTTTGTGGACACCTCTCGTCAAGGTATCACAGGCCTCCCAAGTCTATTATTGTTCATCATCAGCATGAAATAACAGCACATCCAAAAAGATGCCACCATTCATTGACATGCAGACGTTGGCACACTTGTAACCAAGGGCACATGCGTACATCTACAATGTCATTGCTTAGTCATAATCCCACAGCCAAAGGCATCCACTCGCGATAATACCCATGACTGTACTGTAACGCACTTGCATCTTGCAAGCCCGCCATTAGTTTTGTAATCATTGGAACTTTTCAATCTATAATGAATGTAATGCACATGGCTGTCAGTTACACAAAAATAATTTATTTGACTAGAATGGTCTGGGCTTAGTATAAACTGCGATACAGGACAACAGTTAATATGGAACTTTATTAGGAACTAATTATTGTGCATTTAATACAAATAAAAGTTTGGAATCATTTGGTGGATGGAAATTTGGTCAAAGGTTGCATAGCGCTTACTTGTGTTTTTGTTTGTCACTTCTCCAAGGGGAGCTTTGGCCACTACGAGTTCATATCTCTATCAAGTTGGGTTGCATCAGAGCCTAATGTGGGATGAAACTGGATGTGATGTTAAAATGGAAATGTAAGAAACGGAATGCGAGATCCAACCCGGTCATGGTCTTGGCACAAATCCACAAAGCACTCCAATGCCCTCTCTTTCTCCATGCACCACAACCACAGCCAGGAGCTAAGGTCACTTTTAAATTGTTGGGTTCAGGAGGCTCACGGTTATCAAGGTCTTAGTTTTTTAAATAGTTTTTTGGTGGTAAAACACAAGGACAAATATTATTTACAAACCCTGTATTATATACATTTAGAAAGATTGTGCAGTCAGCAGGTTTGCCAGGACTAACAAAGGCCGGCCACCTTGTAATTTGGCAGTGGCACAGTTGGACATTTGCCAGCGAGAGTGTCAGTGAGACGATGGAGGACATAACCAAATATATCCGTCTGCACTGCCTCGTACCTTACACACACACACCAATCACTTATACTAATGATAATAATAAACCACACAACGGAGGTGTGTAATTTTATTACAGTTACTAAAGTTGTTGTGCAGCTACTACGATAAAAAAAGAATGGAACGTTTTAAATGCGCGACGAACAACCTGGAACAAGTAGTCTTGCATGCTCCGCAGCGATTACAATCACAAACACACTCACACGCCAAACAAATGTGCAATGATCGCTTCTCTACTTTACAGTCTTTTGGCAATCCATTACTGGCAAGGTTTTTTTAAAAACAAAAGTTTACTTCTGAGTTTCGAGATTAATTTTCGGGAGGATGCCACTTTTGGGATGATTAGCCAATTCCTTAAGAGGCAGTCTTGCTTGTAATAAGTCTGAACATAGAACATTTCATCAAGTATAACATTGAATCAATTATTTATACGTATAAAACCTCTAATTAGCTGCATCACGGGCTATTTTATTTCAGAATGCCCTATGACTAAACTGATATTATGAAGCACATCGAGTAGATTTTAAACTGTAGGTCGGTAAATAATGGAATCGAAAGTCGTAAAAGTACTTCATGCAACCGGCCAATTGTCTAAAGTTTGCCAACTTACTTTTACATTGAATACATTTTTTTACATTTCCATAGACTCTGCAAACAATGTTCACTTACCTAGCAAATCCAAGACACATTTTTACACCCATCAACAACTTAGCACGAATGCAATCGCTCGGATATCGCACACGCAGGTAGAACCTATGCACATTAACAACAAAACCATGACGACAAACACTAAAACGACGAACAAAAAATTAGACCATAATTCTGGCCCAAATTAAACAATTCAAAGGCCCTATTCACATCGCTGCGACTTCCCATCTCCAATGCCCTCCGACACAATCCCGTCAACGTCAGCATCACTGTAATTAACAACTTGTTGCCAACGACTATTGCTGTTGCCTCAAACAATAATATAACAATTCACTTACCACCGAGCAGAAGAAATCTCAAAGTTCGTGGGCGAACGTTGAGAGCTCGCATCCCCGCCATTGCCTTCCTGTGTGCAGTCGCCTCTCAGTGTGCACAAAGGTCGCGCCGCCAGCTGTCAAAAACGTAAACGCCCTCGGGGCAAAGCGGACGGCGCCACGCCTATTTATAGAGCAGGGTCAACACGACGCGGCTGACGCCCTCAGGGCGTCGTGGTGAATGAAAAACTTCCGCCAAGGTTGTGACTGTGCGTTGGGCTGCGATGACGTCATGGATTAGTGTCAGTTATTGACGGTGGGCGGGGGTTCGGTGACTAGGGGGCGGGGGGCTTGCTAACTGTAGGCGGGGCTAGGTGACTATGGGCGGGGCTTGTGCTTAGGGGGAGGGCTGGTGACCAGGGGGCGGGGGCTTGGTGACAAGAGGGCGGGGTTTGGTGATTATGGGGCGTGGCTTGGTACATGGAGGCGGAGCTTGTGATTAGGGGGCGGTGCTTGTGTCCAAGGTGCGGGCTTTGAGATGGGTGTCAAAACTCAATCAACTCATCATGGGACCATCATGGCACCTCATCATCATGGCACCTCATCATCATGGCACCTCATCATCATGGCACCTCATCATCATGGCACCTCATCATCATGGCACCTCATCATCATGGCACCTCATCATCATGGCACCTCATCATCATGGCACCTCATCATCATGGCACCTCATCATCATGGCACCTCATCATCATGGCACCTCATCATCATGGCACCTCCTTTGCCAGTACCAAAATATGAGAAGAGGTTTTCCCCTTTTGGCGACCTCTGGTCGAACACCGTTTTGAGACGAGGCTCAAAAGAAAGCTGTCTCTGGTGTGAACCAATCAGTTTCAAAGACAATGCATCATATTATCAGAGTATTTTTTTTGTTTGCATTCTGACCACAAGTATTGTGGTTAATGCAGACATGATTCCTTGTGAAAGGTTTCAGTTTGGTGTTTTAACATCTCAACCAACTCGTGAGCAAAGAATAGACGACGTTTCAGGCAATGTTCCTTCTTCATAGCGCATAGAGAGGATACTAATAGGTGGATACTGCAGTTTACACCCTGGGGCCTGATAAGAATTACATTTTAAACAACATTCCTGAGTTTATTTCGTGACACATTGTTAATGTTTTCAGGGTTTGTCTGTTGTTCAGTTATCTCCTCATAGTGTCACTATTCATAGGCATATTTAAAAAAATAAAACGGTTCATAGAGGAGACATTTTTTTCAACAATTTTTTTTTAGCAGGCCCCATGATGCAAAGCACAGTTTCATCGAGCAGTGGATAGATCGTGCCTAATTATAACGACGAATGCGCAAATGACGCACACTGCAATAAGAGCACACTTCGTTGTTGTATTGCTAACGTACAACGTGCATCGCAGTGTCAAGCAGTGGGAACCACCAGCACCAGCAGCAGCAGCTGCTGGTGCCGTGAAAACAAAACGAGAACAGGTCCCTGCAGGGTGGGCTGGTAGGAACATTGGAATTTTGCGCAATTTTATTTTTACACCCCAACAGCACGAGATTTCACTTCGTTAAAGTATTGAAAGGGGACGGACGGACGGACACATTAATCTATTGTAGGCTGGTACACTCAGTTTACAACTTCGTTCCTACCAGTAAAAGATCCCCCCCGCCACCATTACTCCAAGCACGATGGCTTTCAAACACCTTCAACTGCATTGTCTTAACGCACTCAATGCACCGCAGCCCGGAGGCTTACAAATGAAAATGACAATCGTGTCCCCCTCTTTGACAGATTGCAACGCTTTGCGACCGGTAGCCGATGTGGGCGCCAGGCTGCAGATTTTTATACGAAAACCCGAAAACCGATTCTCAAAGCTAAAATCATTGTATTTAAAACGTATAGGTGGTTAAAAGCTTTCGTGACTGCATGAATTCATATTCTTTGGGTCTTTCGGTAAAGTCACGTAGAACAAAAACATTTCACAAAAAACTACGACGTTTCGATTGCAACACAAGCAATCGTCATGCCTTTTTCATCCTGATGACGATTGCTTGTGTTGCGATGGAAACGTCATGATTTTTTGTATTTTTTTGTTCTACGTGACTTTACCGAAAGACCCAAAGAATACGTACATATAGGTTTCTTCTAGATTGTTATATAGCGGTATTGATCACACTTATTCTTGAATTTATGATGCTTTCATGTATATTATTGCTGACTATCCTCGTTTCTTGCGTGTGTTCAGGAGCCAGATGCCAATGTCTTGGACACTTCACGTGGCCTCAAAGTGCACGTGGCCTGGCACAGGCGGGGTGGTGACGTCACCGTAATTTCGTGACGAAGGGCGGCCGTGGTGGTATTGAATGCCAATGTCGAGCTTGGCGAGCCACGACGAGGCGGCTTCAGGAGAGTTATCCGACAGCGTGACGAAATGTCTCGGAGCGCCCATCTCTCTTAGCCTAGGGGAACCCCCATGGCAGCTTGCCCTGTGCGGCACAAGGCGACTTCAGCACCGGCCTGCAAGAGGGCATTACGTCTGCCGGTAGGGGGCGACAATCCCTGTGTGGGATCCCAATTGAGTAAAAAACTCAGTCGCAAGAGATGGCGGTGACTTGGTGGATGCTTTTATCCAGCAGGAGCTGATGATGATGATGATGACTATCATGATCATGATCATCATGATCATGATAGTCATCATCAACATGATCATGATGATCATGTTGATGATGGTCATCAAGATGACCATCATCATTATGACGATCATAATGATGACCATCATCATTATGATGATCATCATTAGCACAGTGTGGATGAGACGAAACAGTACGTCTGGTAGACCGGGTCCTCAACATGCAAGCGTGTAAGAAATAAGAATCACGGTCGAAGTGATAGAACAGTGAAAAATTGTTTAAAAATCGCCAGCCTACAGCCTAAATGGTGAGCGCTGGGCAGTGTGAGGCTGAGTCCAACTGCATAGAAGTTTAATCAGTAACACACCACCACAGGCACACCTTGACGCAGCACTCACCGTAACGGCAGACAACGATAACATGAAAACACCCAGCGCGACATTTACATCATCTGACTCCACTGAAGGAAGAATAAAATGCACTTCTGAAGAACAGGACGACACGGCAGAGGGTTCATAGGTCAGGGTATACGTTGGTGCAGCCGGAGGTGAAGGGACGAGTGGCGCCAGTGGTGTAAGCGTGCAGGCGGTGCAACTGCACATCGGGGCTCACGAGCCACAGCAGCCCAGGAGCCGGACTATGGAGCGGTGGGAAATTGGACAGGGACCCCCCCCCCCACCCCCCCATTACGGTCCTTGCACCTAGGGGCCATGCCAACCGCGTGGCAAGACTGCTCAACGTCGTCCAAGCGCATTCAGTGCTCGATGCTTTACCGTGAAAGCCATCTCCACCACCGTGTAACATGCCCCGTGTCTCATCATCATCATCACCACGTCCTCCTCCTTTAGTGCAAGCGTTACAAATGTACAATAACCACACGTCAGCGCCGCTCCTTCGTATGAGGGCGTGATCGGAAAGTCGGTGGCGTGACGTGATGAAAGTGTCAATCGTGTTTATCTCGTGCTGTCTGTCGAAGGACCATTCCGAGCTGCCTTGCGATAGGCCCCAATTTTACATCGTAGTGCACTGAAATAGTAATAATGCAGCAACAAAACGTTCGCCACATATTCACTTCTCATAAGCCTATCAATGTTCCCATAAATCTGGTAAATATTCATGGTACAAAGTCCCGCCGTTATTAGTTTCGCTGCTCGGACCACTCACAGCACACGTCACTTCGTTGTCACGAGAGAGAGAAAAATCACGCTTGCAGAAAGTGATTCTTCATCCAAGGCAGTGGTTCTTCTTCTTCTTCGTCTTAACCTGGGGTGCACCCTGCACCCCCTGGAGGTGCGAGATGCCCTTTCTGGAGGATGCGACACAAGGCCGGATTTTTTTTCTAGAGTAAATAATCGAAAACACAATTCAAGCACGGGCACGTAAGTTCAACTGACTTTGTCTCATCAAGCCCTCTATGTATTTATTAACATGATACAATGTTTGTTTTTAACGAATGAGAACCAAAGGGCTGCATGCCTGCAGTAAAGGTTACACACCACTGGTTTAAGGGAACTTATGCAAGGCAGATCTTGCGAGTCTGGATTGTATCCAGATGTATCCGGAATTCGTACGATTCCTGCTGTTTCAGCAACACAAGTCGATGTCACACACACACACATAACTGCATACCAAATGATAGTCAATATACCACTATCAAACTCCATAATCACTCACCTCTCAACTGCCAGTTCCCCAACTTCTTTCGCACCGTACGTAGCCCAACCGTGCTCACCGTGCTCATCTCCTATCGCATTGGCGATAACAACTCTTCCCCGGGCTCTAGCCTGGTTAAATAACATCAATAACTTAAATAACCACATTCTCTGGATTAGAAGAAATGCCGGAAATTAAGACTCACAACAAACTTTGGTGTCGTTTTGAAAAGAAGTAGAAAAGACCCCCCCCCCCCCACAATCAATCTCGTAAAAACACGGACATTGCGAGAGAGTGGGAAACAGGGGTGTCACACATCAAGTGGTGAGGTGTGGAGCGGATGCTGCCAAAAGCAGGTAAAGCTTGCGTCTTGGAAAATACGGCGGTGGTGGAAGGGGCTGTGTGGTGGCAATAACGCTGTTGACTGTAATTGATCAAGTGTATTCGAATCTGGTCACTCGTGTGAAAGGTGGAAGCGGCTGTCGTGGCTGTCGAGGCCACGCAGTGGACTATCAAGACGCACCCCCAGCGTTGGTTTTAAAAAGAAATGAAAAATAGTACCGCGTCATCCGGAGAATGCGGAAATTGATGCCTTTGCATAGTTTATGCACTTCAACATTTAAACTACAGTATTAACAAATTGCTATGTATCAAATAGTAAGCTGATACTGTTATGATGTTGCCAATTATCAGCGTCTTTTTATGATAATTCTCACACGCGATGTAACCAACACGGGGGAGTTGAAAACCATGCTGAGGATAGCGGTGACGTCGAATGTTGCTGCAGAAATGTAGCGCGGTGACTTATGGCTTTGCCCAACTTCTTAAGTAGTTTAAATTCCGTAGAAAACCAAAACAACAACAACACCATCTAAGTAATATTTTATCAATGTGTTGGCTTACGTTGTCATTGAGCCGAGTGTGGTGGTGTATGCCAGCAATCCATCACTTTGGAGGCCGGGGTTGGTAGGCCACACTACTTTGTGAATCTCTCAATCCTGCTGAGCTGCAACGTGGCCAGAAGATGGCAATACACCACGTGTGTCCAATTGAACAAGATTTAGTAAAATTTGGAAACAATATAATGCAGCACAGAGGGTCGGCCAAAACACAATTAACGCATGGTCTGGCTGATTACGTTATTTCAAAGCTTGCTAAATTATAGGTAAGGATGATAGAGTGCAGATCACAGACATATATACACATCCAAGCAGAGAGAGCCAGCACAGAGACACACAGAGAGAGAGACACACATGGGACACAGTGAAACAATGCTTCTGTGTCGAAGCCTTAAATAGAGGGGGAGGCAGGGGGGGTGGAGACAGAGATAAAGGAAAACAAATTAGCATGGACTGGGCTGAGCAGGTAGAAGAGCCACCGCACATGCCGCTGCAGCGTGGTGAGGGGGGAGAAGGGGGCACAGAAATCAGATTAGCATGCCCACAGGGACTGTGCAGAGAGACAAGACACATACACGTAGATACAAAGGCAGAAACACAGGTAGAGACAACATAGAGACACAAACTTAAGTTAAGTGTAACATTTGAGAGAGAGACACGGCACATACACGGAGACACAAACAGAGACAACGCAAAGACACATACTTCATACCTCCCCGTAGAGGCGGTTCAACTTGAATTTGTGCTTTCGTGACTGCAGGAATTACTCTTTGTTTTTTTCGGTAAAGTCACGTAGAAATAAGAAATCATAATAAATTTTATTTTATTTCTTATTTCAAGTTGAACCACCTCTACGGGGAGGTATAAAGTATGTGTCTTTGCGTTGTCTGTGTATCCGTGTATGTGTCGTGTCTCTCTCTCAAATGTCACACTTAACGTAAGTTTGTGTCTCTATGTTGTCTCTACCTGTGTTTCTGCCTTTGTGTCTACGTGTATGTGTCTTGTCTCTCTCCACAGTCCCTGTGGGCATGCTAATCTGATTTCCGTGCCCCCTTCTCCCCCCTCACCACGCTACAGCGGCATGTGCGGTGGCTCTTCTACCTGCTCAGCCCAGTCCATGCTAAATTGTATTCCTTTATCTCTGTCTCCACCCCCCCTGCCTCCCCCTCTTCGACACAGAAGCATTGTTTCACTGTGTCCCATGTGTGTGTCTCTCTCTGTGTGTCTCTGTGCTGGCTCTCTCTACTTGGATGTCTATATATGTGTCTGTGATCTGTACTCTATCACTCTTCACCTATAATTTAGCAATCTTTGAAATAACGTAATCAGCCAGACCATGCGTTAATTGTGTTTTGACCGACCCTCTGTGCTGCATTATATTGTTTCCAAATTTTACTAAATCTTGTTCAATTTGATGTGCTTCTCCATCTCTCTGTGTTTCCCCTCTCTCTTAAATTTAGCTCTTCTATACCTGATGATGATTGCTTGCGTTGCAATCAAAACATCGTATGCTATTATGTAATTTTATTTTATTATTATTTCTTATTTCTACATGACTTTACCGAAAAAAACAAAGAGTAATTCCTGCAGTCACGAAAGCACCAAATCAAGTTACACCACGTGTGTTTAACCCAATAACTATATTAGGATTTGAACCCAGGCTGAAATTTAATGCACACTTTTTGTATCGATAACAGATTGATTTTTTTCTTTGGATTGGGCTACATCAATGATCTACAACATTTCTGTCGTAAGACCCTCCACCACCCAACACAAGTTTTTATTTATGTATATTTTGTATTAACTCCTTGAACTGCTTGGGGGCGCTCAGCTTTCGCTTGGTTTTGCTTTAACCTAGCGACGCCACCGGTCTCTTCCTCAGGACATTTCTCAATTCCCCGTGTACCCCGCCCCCTCTGCCCCCAGGTGTTTCCTCTCGCCATAATCGCTCAGCTGAACGATTGCTCGAGTGCGTCCGACTGTCCGCCGGACGCCCCGAACGAACCCTGCAGCTCGCCCTGGTCCCCCAGGACGACGTCCGTGGCGGCGGTTTCCACGGCAGCGGCGGCGGCGTCGTCGGCATCGTTGGCGACGGGAGGACCCCCGGCCCAGTCGGCGAAGGGGCTGGCGGGCGGGCGCACGGGGCTGAGGTGCTTGCGCAGGAAGGTCCCCCAGAAGTCGCCCTTCTCGGCCTTCTCCGAGTGATCGTCCGCGATCCTGGGGGGTTCGGGGCGAGGGAGGTCACACGGACCGTCGTTGTCTCTGGGTCATGAAGAAGCACGTTGCTTTCTTACTGTCTTTTAAAACTCCTTTCTGTTTTTAAAGCTCGGCCTGAGGCTCGTCGACACACTTCCATTTTACGTTCGACTAATTCAGCAAATGGCTTTTATTTTTCTTGCTATTTTACCATTTCTACGTTATTTAGTTTAAGTTTAATGGGTTATTGTCGTGCTGATGCTCTATTTTGTCTTGTACCACGCTTTGAGGTCGCTGATGAGAGGCGAGTCATCGACTCCGGGAATACATTTGGGGTGCGTCTGACTTTCCAAAGTGGTAATCTCTTATCCGTACAACTTGCATTCCATTTCGATTTAAAGCTTTCGTGACTGCAAGAGCCTTAGAGTCGCGGCTCTAAGGCTCTTTGTTCCTCTCACACAGCTTAAAAGCCGTGATCTGAACGTGGCTCTCTCACTCCAGCGCTGTCCTACCAGACAGTCTCGCTCCCTTCACCTGATGAAGGCCGCTTGTGTTGTGGCCGAAACGTCGTGAGAATATTATTGTGTTATTTTATTTTATCAATTTATTATTTTATTCTCATTCTACGTGACTTTACCGAAAGAACCAAAGAAGTTGCATTCCATTTTTTAAATTCGCCTTCTCCCAGTCATGAACAATCCACTACTGGATGATTAAAATCATCAAGTGTGACGGTGATTACGACTGCTGATCACAAAGTAACGTTACGAAACACCGCAGTGCACTGACGATGGCCATGAGTAATCATTGTCTACGTGTGTACAGAAGAAGAAATATAATTATAATAAATCCACTAATTGAACCTTATTGCGGGACCCCGGGGTCCCGAATAGGCGGAAGTCAAAATCGTAATTAATTTTGTATTTGTGGCGACTCCGTCCCATCGCGCACATGAAAGCGGTGACCCGCCTGGCGCGGATCACTCTGTTGTCATGTCATGTCCAAGCGCGGCGGCGGGGACGAATGCGCAGAAGAAACCAAACTTTTAAACTTTGATTAGCGCATCGTGTAGAGCTCGTCGAGATGAATATATTGCCGTCGTCCGCCTTCAACAGACATTAAATGACGTCGCAGCACATTTCATGCGAGAGCCGGGGGCTTCTGGGACCCCGGAGTCCCGCCATAAGGTTCAGTTATTGGCTGACCAAATAATTATGGGGCGTGGAGACACCCCTCGTTTAATAACGAAGAGCGTTTTACTAAATTTTTGACTGCTTTTGCCGATTCGTAAGAAAATGAATAAATGAAATCCACAGACTAAGGCTGGAATAAAACGTTATAGACTGTCATCGCCTCGACTACAATCAACCACTGACCAAAGTAACACCAAAGCCGAGTGAGTGTCAGGTTGCGTGGATACACCTGCAGAGCACAGCTCCAGAGGAGAACACAAGAGGATGGGAGAGATCATTCCCAAGTGCAGCAGTGCGAGGGAAGCAGCAGGTAGAGAAATGGTGTGACCTGCAGTGTCGTGACTGGGTAAGTTGGTGAGTGTGTTGTTGTGACCTGCAGTGTCGTGACTGGGTGAGTGTGTAGTTGTGACCTGCAGTGTTGTGACTGGGTAAGTTGGTGAGTGTGTTGTTGTGACCTGCAGTGTCGTGACTGGGTGAGTTGGTGAGTGTGTTGTTGTGACCTGCAGTGTCGTGACTGGGTGAGTTGGTGAGTGTGTTGTTGTGACCTGCAGTGTCGTGACTGGGTGAGTGGGTGAATGTGTTGTTGTGACCTGCAGTGTCGTGACTGGGTGAGTGTGTTGTTGTGACCTGCAGTGTCGTAACTGGGTGAGTTGGTGAGTGTGTTGTTGTGACCTGCAGTGTCGTGACTGGGTGAGTTGGTGAGTGTGTTGTTGTGACTTGCAGTGTCGTAACTGGGTGAGTTGGTGAGTGTGTTGTTGTGACCTGCAGTGTCGTGACTGGGTGAGTTGGTGAGTGTGTTGTTGTGACCTGCAGTGTCGTGACTGGGTGAGTTGGAGAGTGTACTTGTGACCTGCTGTGTCGTGACAGGGTGAGTGGGTGAGTGTGTTGTTGTGACCTGCAGTGTCGTGACTGGGTGAGTGGGTGAGTGTGTTGTTGTGACCCGCAATGTCGTGACTGGGTGAGTTGGTGAGTGCGTTGTTGTGACCTGCAGTGTCGTGACTGGGTAATTTGGTGAGTGTGTTGTTGTGACCTGCAGTGTCGTGACTGGGTGAGTTGGTGAGTGTGTTGTTGTGACCTGCAGTGTCGTGACTGGGTGAGTGGGTGAGTGTGTTGTTGTGACCTGCAGTGTCGTGACTGGGTGAGTTGGTGAGTGTGTTGTTGTGACCTGCAGTGTCGTGACTGGGTGAGTTGGAGAGTGTACTTGTGACCTGCAGTGTGGTGAGTGGGTGAGTTGGTGAGTGTGTTGTTGTGACCTGCAGTGTCGTGACTGGGTGAGTTGGTGAGTGTGTTGTTGTGACCTGCAGTGTGGTGAGTGGGTGAGTTGGTGAGTGTGTTGTTGTGACCTGCAGTGTCGTAACTGGGTGAGTTGGTGAGTGTGTTGTTGTGACCTGCAGTGTCGTGACTGGGTGAGTTGGTGAGTGTGTTGTTGTGACCTGCAGTGTCGTGACTGGGTGAGTTGGAGAGTGTACTTGTGACCTGCAGTGTCGTGACTGGGTGAGTTTGTGAGTGTTTTGTTGTGACCTGCAGTGTCGTGACTGGGTGAGTTGGTGAGTGTGTTGTTGTGACCTGCAGTGTCGTGACTGGGTGAGTGTGTTGTTGTGACCTGCAGTGTCGTGACTGGGTGAGTGGGTGAGTGTGTTGTTGTGACCTGCAGTGTGGTGACTGGGTGAGTTGGTGAGTGTGTTGTTGTGACCTGCAGTGTCGTGACTGGGTGAGTTGGTGAGTGTGTTGTTGTGACCTGCAGTGCCGTGACTGGGTGAGTTGGTGATTGTGTTGTTGTGACCTGCAGTGTCGTGACTGGGTGAGTGTGTTGTTGTGACCTGCAGTGTCGTGACTGGGTGAGTGGGTGAGTGTGTTGTTGTGACCTGCAGTGTCGTGACTGGGTGAGTGTGTTGTTGTGACCTGCAGTGTCGTAACTGGGTGAGTTGGTGAGTGTGTTGTTGTGACCTGCAGTGTCGTGACTGGGTGAGTTGGTGAGTGTGTTTTTGTGACCTGCAGTGTCGTGACTGGGTGAGTTGGTGAGTGTGTTGTTGTGACCTGCAGTGTCGTGACTGGGTGAGTGGGTGAGTGTGTTGTTGTGACCTGCAGTGTCGTGACTGGGTGAGTGGGTGAGTGTGTTGTTGTGACCTGCAGTGTCGTGACTGGGTGAGTGGGTGAGTGTGTTGTTGTGACCTGCAGTGTCGTGACTGGGTGAGTTGGTGAGTGCGTTGTTGTGACCTGCAGTGTCGTGACTGGGTAATTTGGTGAGTGTGTTGTTGTGACCTGCAGTGTCGTGACTGGGTGAGTTGGTGAGTGTGTTGGTGTGACCTGCAGTGTCGTGACTGGGTGAGTGGGTGAGTGTGTTGTTGTGACCTGCAGGGCCGTGACTGGGTGAGTTGGTGAGTGTGTTGTTGTGACCTGCAGTGTCGTGACTGGGTGAGGTGGTGAGTGTGTTGTTGTGACCTGCAGTGTCGTGACTGGGTGAGTGGGTGAGTGTGTTGTTGTGACCTGCAGTATCGTGACTGGGTGAGGTGGTGAGTGTGTTGTTGTGACCTGCAGTGTCGTGACTGGGTGAGTTGGTGAGTGTGTTGTTGTGACCTGCAGTGTCGTGACTGGGTGAGTGGGTGAGTGTGTTGTTGTGACCTGCAGTGTCGTGACTGGGTGAGTTGGTGAGTGTGTTGTTGTGACCTGCAGTGTCGTGACTGGGTGAGGTGGAGAGTGTACTTGTGACCTGCAGTGTGGTGAGCGGGTGAGTTGGTGAGTGTGTTGTTGTGACCTGCAGTGTCGTGACTGGGTGAGTTGGTGAGTGTGTTGTTGTGACCTGCAGTGTGGTGAGTGGGTGAGTTGGTGAGTGTGTTGTTGTGACCTGCAGTGTCGTAACTGGGTGAGTTGGTGAGTGTGTTGTTGTGACCTGCAGTGTCGTGACTGGGTGAGTTGGTGAGTGTGTTGTTGTGACCTGCAGTGTCGTGACTGGTTGAGTTGGAGAGTGTACTTGTGACCTGCAGTGTTGTGACTGGGTGAGTTGGTGAGTGTTTTGTTGTGACCTGCAGTGTCGTGACTGGGTGAGTGTGTTGTTGTGACCTGCAGTGTCGTGACTGGGTAATTTGGTGAGTGTGTTGTTGTGACCTGCAGTGTCGTGACTGGGTGAGTTGGTGAGTGTGTTGTTGTGACCTGCAGTGTCGTGACTGGGTGAGTTGGTGAGTGTGTTGTTGTGACCTTCAGTGTGGTGACTGGGTGAGTTGGTGAGTGTGTTGTTGTGACCTGCAGTGTCGTGACTGGGTGAGTGTGTTGTTGTGACCTGCAGTGTCGTAACTGGGTGAGTTGGTGAGTGTGTTGTTGTGACCTGCAGTGTCGTGACTGGGTGAGTTGGTGGGTGTGTTGTTGTGACCTGCAGTGTCGTGACTGGGTGAGTTGGAGAGTGTACTTGTGACCTGCAGTGTGGTGAGCGGGTGAGTTGGTGAGTGTGTTGTTGTGACCTGCAGTGTCGTGACTGGGTGAGTTGGTGAGTGTGTTGTTGTGACCTGCAGTGTGGTGAGTGGGTGAGTTGGTGAGTGTGTTGTTGTGACCTGCAGTGTCGTAACTGGGTGAGTTGGTGAGTGTGTTGTTGTGACCTGCAGTGTCGTGACTGGGTGAGTTGGTGAGTGTGTTGTTGTGACCTGCAGTGTCGTGACTGGTTGAGTTGGAGAGTGTACTTGTGACCTGTAGTGTCGTGACTGGGTGAGTTGGTGAGTGTTTTGTTGTGACCTGCAGTGTCGTGACTGGGTGAGTTGGTGAGTGTGTTGTTGTGACCTGGAGTGTCGTGACTGGGTAATTTGGTGAGTGTGTTGTTGTGACCTGCAGTGTCGTGACTGGGTGAGTTGGTGAGTGTGTTGTTGTGACCTGCAGTGTCGTGACTGGGTGAGTTGGTGAGTGTGTTGTTGTGACCTTCAGTGTGGTGACTGGGTGAGTTGGTGAGTGTGTTGTTGTGACCTGCAGTGTCGTGACTGGGTGAGTGTGTTGTTGTGACCTGCAGTGTCGTAACTGGGTGAGTTGGTGAGTGTGTTGTTGTGACCTGCAGTGTCGTGACTGGGTGAGTTGGTGGGTGTGTTGTTGTGACCTTCAGTGTGGTGACTGGGTGAGTTGGTGAGTGTGTTGTTGTGACCTGCAGTGTCGTGACTGGGTGAGTGTGTTGTTGTGACCTGCAGTGTCGTAACTGGGTGAGTGTGTTGTTGTGACCTGCAGTGTCGTGACTGGGTGAGTGTGTTGTTGTGACCTGCAGTGTCGTGACTGGGTGAGTGGGTGAGTGTGTTGTTGTGACCTGCAGTGTCGTGACTGGGTGAGTTGGTGGGTGTGTTGTTGTGACCTTCAGTGTGGTGACTGGGTGAGTTGGTGAGTGTGTTGTTGTGACCTGCAGTGTCGTGACTGGGTGAGTGTGTTGTTGTGACCTGCAGTGTCGTGACTGGGTGAGTTGGTGAGTGTGTTGTTGTGACCTGCAGTGTCGTGACTGGGTGAGTTGGTGAGTGTGTTGTTGTGACCTGCAGTGTCGTGAGTGGGTGAGTTGGTGAGTGTGTTATTGTGACCTGCAGTGTCGAGACTGGGTGAGGTGGTGAATGTGTTGTTGTGACCTGCAGTGTGGTGACTGGGTGAGTTGGTGAGTGCGTTGTTGTGACCTGCAGTGTGTTGAGTGGGTGAGTGTGTTGTTGTGACCTGCAGTGTGGTGAGTGGGTGAGTGTGTTGTTGTGACCTGCAGTGTGGTGAGTGGGTGAGTGTGTTGTTGTGACCTGCAGTGTGGTGAGTGGGTGAGTGTGTTGTTGTGACCTGCAGTGTGGTGAGTTGGTGAGTGTGTTGTTGTGACCTGCAGTGTGGTGAGTGGGTGAGTGTGTTGTTGTGACCTGCAGTGTGGTGAGTGGGTGAGTGTGTTGTTGTGACCTGCAGTGTGGTGAGTTGGTGAGTGTGTTGTTGTGACCTGCAGTGTGGTGAGTGGGTGAGTGTGTTGTGACCTGCAGTGTGGTGAGTGGGTGAGTGTGTTGTTGTGACCTGCAGTGTGGTGAGTGGGTGAGTGTAGTTGTGACCTGCAGTGTCGTGACTGAGTGAGTTGGTGAGTGTGTTGTTGTGACCTGCAGTGTGGTGAGTGGGTGAGTGTGTTGTTGTGACCTGCAGTGTGGTGAGTGGGTGAGTGTGTAGTTGTGACCTGCAGTGTGGTGAGTGAGTGGGTGAGTGTGTTGTTGTGACCTGCAGTGTGGTGACTGGGTAAGTTGGTGAGTGTGTTGTTGTGACCTGCAGTGTCGTGACTGGGTGAGTTGGTGAGTGTGTTGTTGTGACCTGCAGTGTGGTGAGTGTGTTGTTGTGACCTGCAGTGTGGTGAGTGGGTGTGCTGTTGTGACGTGCAGTGTGGTGAGTGGGTGAGTGTGTTGTTGTGACCTGCAGTGTCGTGACTGGGTGAGTTGGTGGGTGTGTTGTTGTGACCTTCAGTGTGGTGACTGGGTGAGTTGGTGAGTGTGTTGTTGTGACCTGCAGTGTCGTGACTGGGTGAGTGTGTTGTTGTGACCTGCAGTGTCGTGACTGGGTGAGTTGGTGAGTGTGTTGTTGTGACCTGCAGTGTCGTGACTGGGTGAGTTGGTGAGTGTGTTGTTGTGACCTGCAGTGTCCTGAGTGGGTGAGTTGGTGAGTGTGTTATTGTGACCTGCAGTGTCGTGACTGGGTGAGGTGGTGAGTGTGTTGTTGTGACCTGCAGTGTGGTGACTGGGTGAGTTGGTGAGTGCGTTGTTGTGACCTGCAGTGTGTTGAGTGGGTGAGTGTGTTGTTGTGACCTGCAGTGTGGTGAGTGGGTGAGTGTGTTGTTGTGACCTGCAGTGTGGTGAGTGGGTGAGTGTGTTGTTGTGACCTGCAGTGTGGTGAGTGGGTGAGTGTGTTGTTGTGACCTGCAGTGTGGTGAGTTGGTGAGTGTGTTGTTGTGACCTGCAGTGTGGTGAGTGGGTGAGTGTGTTGTTGTGACCTGCAGTGTGGTGAGTGGGTGAGTGTGTTGTTGTGACCTGCAGTGTGGTGAGTTGGTGAGTGTGTTGTTGTGACCTGCAGTGTGGTGAGTGGGTGAGTGTGTTGTGACCTGCAGTGTGGTGAGTGGGTGAGTGTGTTGTTGTGACCTGCAGTGTGGTGAGTGGGTGAGTGTAGTTGTGACCTGCAGTGTCGTGACTGAGTGAGTTGGTGAGTGTGTTGTTGTGACCTGCAGTGTGGTGAGTGGGTGAGTGTGTTGTTGTGACCTGCAGTGTGGTGAGTGGGTGAGTGTGTAGTTGTGACCTGCAGTGTGGTGAGTGAGTGGGTGAGTGTGTTGTTGTGACCTGCAGTGTGGTGACTGGGTAAGTTGGTGAGTGTGTTGTTGTGACCTGCAGTGTCGTGACTGGGTGAGTTGGTGAGTGTGTTGTTGTGACCTGCAGTGTGGTGAGTGTGTTGTTGTGACCTGCAGTGTGGTGAGTGGGTGTGTTGTTGTGACGTGCAGTGTGGTGAGTGGGTGAGTGTGTAGTTGTGACCTGCAGTGTGGTGAGTGGGTGAGTGAGTGGATGCCCTGAAGTTATGTTGTTTGAACACAGCGCGGATGAGACAAAAAATCAAACGAAACTATTTTAATTTTACCAGGTAAGACCCTCTGAGCTACACAGCTCTTTTTCAGAAGTGACCGCACCACAAATTAAAGCTCAGCGAAGTGGCTTATCCCGTGGACAGTTATAGCAGCCAAATTGTGTAAACGCGTGATTCTAAATGTGAAGGGAAAACCCGGAGGACCCGGAGAAAAATCCACGTGACCACTGGGAGAGAGACACGCAACCTCCAAATATACAGCAGCAGCAGGCGTCAGGGTCGGGATCGCATCCACGACCTCCTGCACACCAGGCGAGGCAGTTAACATCTCCTAGCCACCGCGGCGCTGCGGGAGACCATCAACATGGGTGCAGGGAGGCAGGGTCGTAGCGACAGAAGCGTGACAAGACAAGGAGGCGCCATGGCCATCGGTGAGTGAGAGCGAGCGGCAGGAACGCACGCCGTGGCTTGTGGGCCCTCGTTGTCCGTGAGTCGCTCGTGGTCGCCCAGGCGGTGGGAAAACAGCGTCGCCTTCAGGGCCTTGAGCCCGGACGCTGGTGGCTGCTGAGAACACGGGAAACGAAGAACAGAGGCGCAGGACGTGGGGGAGCTGGGGGGCGGGGTGTGCAGACGCGAGCACACGGTGGAGCCGGGGGGGGGCGCACGTCACAAGTGAGAATGCACCACGAGGGTGAGCGGAGTTCGAGTGGTGGCTGAGTGACAGGGTGAAAGCAGTACGAATACACTGAGACGGAGTCAGTCGAGGACTTGACCACAGTACACACGGTTGAACAAGAGGCAACGCAGTACAGCGGTGAACGGGGTACAATGGTGTACAGGGGATGATGGTGAACTTAGTACAATGGTGAACTAGGTACAATGGTGTACTGCATGTAATGGTGAACTAGGTACAATGGTGTACTGGATGTAATGGTGAACTAGGTACAATGGTGTACTGGATGTAATGGTGATCTAAGTACAATGGTGTACTGGATTGAGTGGTGATCTAAGTACAATGGTGTACTGGATGTAATGGTGAACTAGGTACAATGGTGTACTGGATGTAATAGTGATCTAAGTACAATGGTGTACTGGATGTAATGGTGATCTAAGTACAATGGTGTACTGGATTGAGTGGTGAACTAAATACAATGGTGTACTGGATGTAATGGTGATCTAAGTAGAATGGTGTACTGGATGTAATGGTGAACTAAATACAATGGTGTACTGGATGTAATGGTGATCTAAGTACAATGGTGTACTGGATTGAGTGGTGAACTAAATACAATGGCGTACTGGATGTAATGGTGAACTAAGTACAATGGTGTACTGGATGTAATGGTGATCTAAGTACAATGGTGTACTGGATGTAATGGTGATCTAAGTACAATGGTGTACTGGATGTAATGGTGATCTAAGTACAATGGTGTACTGGATGTAATGGTGATCTAAGTACAACGGTGTACTGGATGTAATGGTGATCTAAGTACAACGGTGTACTGGATGTAATGGTGATCTAAGTACAATGGTGTACTGGATGTAATGGTGATCTAAGTACAATGGTGTACTGGATGTAATGGTGATCTAAGTACAATGGTGTACTGGATGTAATGGTGATCTAAGTACAATGGTGTACTGGATGTAATGGTGATCTAAGTACAATGGTGTACTGGATGTAATGGTGAACTAAGTACAATGGTGTACTGGATGTAATGGTGATCTAAGTATAATGGTGTACTGGATGTAATGGTGATCTAAGTATAATGGTGTACTGGATGTAATGGTGATCTAAGTATAATGGTGTACTGGATGTAATGGTGAACTAAATACAATGGTGTACTGGATGTAATGGTGAACTAAGTATAATGGTGTACTGGATGTAATGGTGATCTAAGTACAATGGTGTACTGGATGTAACGGTGAATTAAATACAATGGTGTACCGGATGTAATGGTGATCTAAGTACAATGGTGTACTGGATGTAATGGTGAACTAAGTACAATAGTGAACTCATTACAATGGTGAACTAGGTACAATGGTGTACTGGGTATACCATATTACAGCTTTGTACAGAGTTAAGTTTGAGACGTGATACAATGTAAATATAGTATATAATCGTGTTAACGCAGTACAATAAGACAACACTGGGGTGAACACAGCACAATAGGAGAGAGACGCGCTCCGTGATAATTATTTGTTTATGATTATGGTACAAAACCATTCACACCGCGCCATCCCAGAGAGACTTCCATCTCGTCTCAAACATTTTAGAGGGCACCTCTAGTGGCAGCTGCCCCTGTGCAGGGGGGACACGATTGTTGATCCCGAGTGAGTTCGTATGATCCCGAGTGAGTTGGTGTGAGCCCAAGTGAGTTGGTGTGATCCCGAGTGAGTTGGTGTGATCCCGAGTGAGTTGGTATGATCTCAAGTGAGTTGGTATGATCTCGAGTGAGTTGGTATGGTCCCGAGTGAGTTGGTGTGATCCCGAGTGAGTTGGTGTGATCTCGAGTGAATTGGTGTGATCCCGAGTGAGTTGATGTGATCTCGAGTGAGTTGGTGTGATCCCAACGAGTGAGTTGGTGTGATCCCGAGTGAGTTGGTGTGATCCCAACGAGTGAGTTGGTGTAATCTCGAGTGTGTTGGTGTTATCCCGAGTGAGTTGGTGTGATCTCGAGTGAGTTGGTATGATCTCGAGTGTGTTGGTGTGATCCCGAGTGAATTGGTGTTATCCCGAGTGAGTTGGTGTGATCCCGAGTGAGTTGGTATGATCTCGAGTGTGTTGGTGTGATCCCGAATGAGTTGGTGTGATCCCGAGTGAGTTGGTGTGATCCCGAGTGAGTTGGTGTGATCTCGAGTGTGTTGGTGTTATCCCGAGTGAGTTGGTGTGATCCCGAGTGAGTTGGTGTGATCCCGAGTGAGTTGGTGTGAGCCCAAGTGAGTTGGTATGATCCCAAGTGAGTTGGTATGATCCCAAGTGAGTTGGTATGATCCCGAGTGAGTTGGTGTGATCCCGAGTGAGTTGATGTGATCTCGAGTGAGTTGGTGTGATCCCGAGTGAGTTGATGTGATCTCGAGTGAGTTGGTGTGATCCCAACGAGTGAGTTGGTGTGATCCCGAGTGAGTTGGTATGATCCCGAGTGAGTTGGTGTGATCCCGAGTGAGTTGATGTGATCTCGAGTGAATTGGTGTGATCCCGAGTGAGTTGATGTGATCTCGAGTGAGTTGGTGTGATCCCAACGAGTGAGTTGGTGTGATCCCGAGTGAGTTGGTGTGATCCCAACGAGTGAGTTGGTGTAATCTCGAGTGTGTTTGGTGTTATCCCGAGTGAGTTGGTGTGATCTCGAGTGAGTTGGTATGATCTCGAGTGTGTTGGTGTGATCCCGAGTGAATTGGTGTTATCCCGAGTGAGTTGGTGTGATCCCGAGTGAGTTGGTATGATCTCGAGTGTGTTGGTGTGATCCCGAGTGAGTTGGTGTGATCCCGAGTGAGTTGGTGTGATCCCGAGTGAGTTGGTGTGATCTCGAGTGTGTTGGTGTTATCCCGAGTGAGTTGGTGTGATCCCGAGTGAGTTGGTGTGATCTCGAGTGAGTTGGTATGATCCCGAGGAGTGAGTTGGTGTGATCCCGAGGAGTGAGTTAGTGTGATCCCGAGTGAGTTGGTGTGATCCCGAGTGAGTTGGTGTGATCCCGAGTGAGTTGGTGTGAGCCCAAGTGAGTTGGTATGATCCCAAGTGAGTTGGTATGATCCCAAGTGAGTTGGTATGATCCCGAGTGAGTTGGTGTGAGCCCAAGTGAGTTGGTGTGATCCCGAGTGAGTTGGTATGATCCCGAGTGAGTTGGTGTGAGCCCAAGTGAGTTGGTGTGATCCCGAGTGAGTTGGTGTGATCCGGAGTGAGTTGGTATGATCCCGAGTGAGTTGGTGTGATCCCGAGTGAGTTGGTATGATCCCGAGTGAGTTGGTGTGAGCCCAAGTGAGTTGGTGTGATCCCGAGTGAGTTGGTATGATCCCGAGTGAGTTGGTGTGAGCCCAAGTGAGTTGGTGTGATCTCGACTGAGTTGGTGTGATCCCGAGCGAGTTGGTGTGAGCCCAAGTGAGTTGGTGTGATCCCGAGTGAGTTGATATGCTCCCGAGTGAGTTGGTGTGATCCCGAGTGTGTTGGTGTGATCCCGAGTGAGTTGGTGTGAGCCCAAGTGAGTTGGTGTGATCCCGAGTGAGTTGGTATGATCCCGAGTGAGTTGTTATGATCCCGAGTGAGTTGATATGCTCCCGAGTGAGTTGGTGTGATCCCGAGTGTGTTGGTGTGATCCCGAGTGAGTTGGTGTGAGCCCAAGTGAGTTGGTGTGATCCCGAGTGAGTTGGTATGATCCCGAGTGAGTTGGTATGATCCCGAGTGAGTTGGTGTGATCTCGACTGAGTTGGTCATTTTTAGATTTTCACAAAAACGTGGACCACGACACTGACGCACAACGGCCCACTCATTTTCGAATGACGTCAGATGATATTCAGCGTACACTGCGAGGCAGACGGCACTCTCATTCTTATGGTCAACACTCATCGCAGTATTAACCAGGGCAGCCTTGCAGACTCGAACCACCACCGCCGCCGCAACTTACGTCTCTGTGCTCGCCCGCCCTGCCCGCAGACTCCGCGAGCGCCCCCTCGCTGGGCTGCCCCCCCTCGACCTCCGTGCCGCCATGGTCACCGCAGAGCCCTGCGCCGCCGGCGTTCAGCTGCGGCCCCCAGCCCGGGAAGGGGCTGGGGGCCTGGGAGGAGCGCGCGACGCTGCTCTGCCGCTTGAGCAGCGCGCCCCAGAAGTCGGGCTTCTCGCTGGGTCTCTCCTCCTCCTCTTCCTCCTTCACTGGCGGCCGCTCCTGTTCCCTCTCGTCGGTGCTGTTCGCACCCCCAAGCGCAGACGCAACGAGCGCACGCGACGGTCACACGCTGCGGTGTCCGTGGTGTCCGTCCGCGCACGATCAAGCCGTGCGACTGTGCAGGAACGGTCGCGGTGGGGAGAGAGCATCGATCGCCCTCTCGCTCGTTCGTTCACACCTCGTGTGGCGAAAGGCGCCCGATTGAAAACGCGCAGTGGCCGCGCGTTCCGCGTCGCCGTTCCGCGTCGCGTGGAACGCTCTGGCGGACAAACGCACGAGCAACAAGCTCAGCCACTTTACCAGGTAAGGCCCACTGAGCTATAGAGCTCTTTTTCGGAAGCGACCGGGCCACAAATGACAGCTCAACGAAGTGGCTTATCACGTGAAAATGTATTGCAGCCAAATATTCCAAACGCGTGTTGATTCTAAATGTGGATGGAAAACCAGGGAACCTGGAGAATAATCCACGGGGAGAACATGCAAACTCCACGGCGAGACAAGAAGACACTGCTGCTGCTGCTGCACATGAGAGATGCTGTTCGCACGATGTTTGGTTTCTTAAATGATTACTTACATTACATAACACATCATCACGTGTGATGCTGCTATGGTCACATGCAACGACTACATGATTACTAAGCTACCACATTTCGGGAGGCTCAACCAACACGCATGCTGAGCCGGCATTTCCCGTCGCCATCACCAACGCCCACTTTTACATAGCCACGCCCACCCAGCCACTCGCACCGGCCACACGGAGTGGCCTCCCATTGGGCTCTTACTGGATTCGGGCCCCGCCCACGACCCAGGTAGCCCCTCCCACTGTTCATGTAGCCCCTCCCACTACTAAGGTAGCCCCACCCACTGTCCAGGTAGGCCTTCCCATGACCTCGGTAGCCCCTCCCTCTACTCAGGTAGCCCCTCCCATTGTACAGGTCGCCCCACCCACTATGGAATGAGCATTTGAACTCGGAACCTCCCGATTGTGAGCTGCTCACTCGACCATTGCATGTTGAACTTCTTTCACACCGCACGTAGCCAGCTGTGCTAATCGGACCATTTAGCCACCTATCCGGTTCCTATAACACATACTTATTTTATACATAGCACAATAGTTAAGCAGACAATGTGTATCCTTTGTATATCTGTCACTTCACTTAAACAATTAAAGTTATTTTTACACAGCCCATTGGCCCCACAGCCTTTTGGGAATAACTTCAACAGAATGTGTTCAGTCTGCATGTAAAAAGTGATCCAGAATTTGCTAAGTGTCTCATCAGGAGAGTCAGCTTCGCTCAAATCAAAGCTGGTGAACTCTCAGATATTACAGTCTGTTCTCCTAGAACGTGTATTTTCATAACGAGATTTGTATATAACGCGATGAATGTATTATGGGACGCGTGTTTTTATAACGCAGATGCGAATTGGACATATTTAATGCGATTGAGTGAACAAAGTAGGAATAAGCAGTTGTACGGCTGCCTGGGCGTAGCATCATCACACGAGGCACTGGGATGCTGCTGGATGCTTCCAGATGCTACCCATGCGCCTCGGTCTTTGCCCAGCCTTCGCACGCGTCTCACGCGTTATCGCGGACGGTGCTTTACCCCCATGAAACAGTAACGCGATTATTCCGTAACTATATATACGTCTATATTTTATGCATGGTGGTCACCCCGTTCAAAACGTCCCAGGCTCGAGCCTGCTTAGCTTCCGAGATCTGAGTTGCCATAGCATTGCGTGGAGTGGTGGAGGGGGTGGGGGCACAGACGACCGCCTGACCGCGTGGGTTCTGGCTCCTCGTTCTCCGTCAGCCGTTCGTGGTCTCCGTATTTGGGCGAGAAGAGCGAGGTGACGTCCTTCCATCCACGCACGCTCACCCCGTGCACCTGCGCCGGCACAATCGCGGTGGGAAGAGCACCGCTCCATTCAGTGGTAAAGGCTCCCGTAGACTTCAATGTTAAAGACACCCATAAACTTCAGCGTTAAAGGCTCCCATAGACTTCAATGTTAAAGATACCCATAGACTTCAATGTTAAAGGCTCCCGTAGACTTCAATGTTAAAGACACCCATAGACTTCAGCGTTAAAGGCTCCCATAGACTTCGATGTTAAAGGCTCCCATAGACTTTAATGTTAAAGGCTCCGACAGACTTCGCTGTTAAAGGCACCCATAGACTTCAATGTTAAATCGTCCCATACAGTGAGGGAAAAAGTATTTGATCCCCTGCTGATTTTGTACGTTTGCCCATTGACAAAGAATGATCAGACTATAATTTTAATGGTAGGTTTATTTGAACAGTGAGAGACAGGACAACAACAAAATCCAGAAAAACACATGTCAAAAATATTATAAATTGACTTGCATTTTAATGAGGGAAATAAGTATTTGACCCCCTCTCAATCAGAAAGATTTCTGGCTCCCAGGTGTCTTTTATACAGGTAACGAGCTGAGATTAGGAGCACACTCTTAAAGGGAGTGCTCCTAATCTCAGCTTGTTACCTGTATAAAAGACACCTGTCCACAGAATCAATCAATCATATTCCAAACTCTCCACCATGGCCAAGACCAAAGAGCTCTCCAAGGATGTCAGGGACAAGAGTGTAGACCTACACAAGGCTGTAATGGGCTACAAGACCATTGCCAAGCAGCTTGGTGAGAAGGTGACAACAGTTGTTGCGATTATTCGCAAATGGAAGAAACACAGAAAAACTGTCAATCTCCCTCGGCCTGGGGCTCCATGCAAGATCTCACCTCGTGGAGTTGCAATAATCATGAGAACGGTGAGGAATCAGCCCAGAACTACACGAGAGGATCGTGTCAATGATCTCAAGGCAGCTGGGACCATAGTCACCAAGAAAACAATTGGTAACACACTACGCCGTGAAGGACTGAAATCCTGCAGCGCCCGGAAGGTCTCCCTGCTCAAGAAAGCACATGTACATGCCCGTCTGAAGTTTGCCAATGAACATCTGAATGATTCAGAGGACAACTGGGTGAAAGTGTTGTGGTCAGATGAGACCAAAATGGAGCTCTTTGGCATCAACTCAACTCGCCGTGTTTGTAGTAAGAGGAATGCTGCCTATGACTCCAAGAACACCATCCCCACCGTCAAACACGGAGGTGGAAACATTATGCTTTGGGGGTGTTTTTCTGCTAAGGGGACAGGGCAACTTCACCGCATCAAAGGGACGATGGACGGGGCCATGTACCGAAAAATCTTGGGTGAGAACTTCCTTCGCTCAGCCAGGGTATTGAAAATGGGTCGTGGATGGGTATTCCAGCATGACAATGACCCAAAACACACGGCCAAGGCAACAAAGGAGTGGCTCAAGAAGAAGCACATTAAGGCCCTGGAGTGGCCTAGCCAGTCTCCAGACCTTAATCCCATAGAAAATCTGTGGAGGGAGCTGAACGTTCGAGTTGCCAAACGTCAGCCTCGAAACCATAATGACTTGGAGAAGATCTGCAAAGAGGAGTGGGACAAAACCCCTCCTGAGATGTGTGCAAACCTGGTGGCCAACTACAAGAAACGTCTGACCTCTATGATTGTTAACAATGGTTTTGCCACCAAGTACTAAGTCATGTTTTGCAGAGGGGTCAAATACTTTTTTCCCTCATTAAAATGCAAATAAATGTATAACATTTTAGACATGCGTTTTCTGGATTTTTGCTGTTATTCTGTCTCTCACTGTTTAAATAAACCTACCATTAAAATTACAGACTGATAATTTATTTTCCCTCAGTGTATACGCCAATGTTCAATCCCCTGATTCATTCATGCGCACAGAGATCGTCACAGAAAAAAAAAGGACACTCAACGTCCTGGTTTGGCCACTGGTCCCCCCGGTGTCCAAGGTGTAAAAAGTGTTGACCTAATTTTCAACTCACGGCACGTGCAAAGGGACGGAGCTCCCTGGCCAGTGGGTGGTGCCAGAAAACGAGTGGGTGTGGCTATGAGAAAGTGGGCAGGGTGGGCGGACGGAGGGCGGGGCTACCGGCTCACGACGTGTCCCGGTTGAGCGTCCCAGAAATAGTTCATAGTTCATAGTTCATTTATTTGGTATAGCCCTGTGAGCCATTCGGCTCTAGAATCGGGTGCAACCGCAACAAACAAAACACATGAACAAGAAAACATCTTAAAGTGATTATGTGACTGTGCAAACAGAAAATACAGGAAAAAAAATATCAAAATAAATGCGGCAGCTTTACAAAAAAGGCCGTCACAAAGTGCACTCACGTGATTGGTTTTGGCAGCGGTGGAAATGCTGTATTGCTGTGGCTGGATACAGACTTGTGAATAGGAGATCAAGACTCTTCACCTCCCCGCAAACTGGTACTTATGTTTTTGACCCCAAGAACGATGGCCTCAGTTGACCCTGAACAGGTATGTGAACTTGTGACCCTTCGATGCAGAGGTGAGCGCTCAAATCATAGCGCCGCGAGCAACATAAATCGTCACGCGGCAACACAAAACACAAACACGTGAAATTGCGATTGTGATGAGATGCAATGGGGAGGAGGTTGGTTCGCTTTACCTTCGAGGCGAGCTGAGTGACCGAGGTGGACACGTCCTCCAGGAGCTTCCCGTCGTTGACCTGTGTGGGGGGCAGTCGAGACACGGACGGCACAACTGTTGGTGTGCAGGGTGCGACGTCCTGCATCGTGAGGTGGAGGAGAGAGGAGGGAGGTGAAGGGAGGAGGAGGGAGCAGGAGGAAGAGGAGGAGGAGGAGGAGGGAGGAGGAGGGGAAGGGAGGAGGAGGGAGGTGAAGGGAGGAGGAGGGAGGAAGAGGAGGAGGGGAAGGCGGCGGTAGACAATTAAGTTTTTCGTCAATGAGCCTCTGTCAGTCCCATGTTTCCAATTCACAATTTTGGTCGAATGAGCGTTGTTTATCGAACGTTAAGTAGTTGGGAAAATCTACTTTTTACGGATAAACACATTTCTGCGGAGGGGGCTGGTAGGAAATTTTGAAGTAATTATGTACGGATATTTAAGCCAAACTTGTTAGGGTCGTGCGCAGAAGAAAGCAAAATGAAAAGTGAGCAGAAAAATAAAACGACGCCAGAAAGTGCAGTGTAAAAGAGGTCGCACCAGAAAGTGCAATGTATAATCCCCTGCCTCCTGTGAATTAATCCCGGTTGGGCTTCCAGTCCATATAAGGGCACCACGGGGTGACCAGCCCCTCCCCACCCAGCCCCACCCCTCCGACGTGGACAGACATCCACAGACATACACAATTAATCCCCTGCCTCCTGTGAATTAATCCCGGTTGGGCTTCCAGTCCACTACGTTTCCTACCAGTAAAATGTACGTGGATGTGCAGCCCCGTGTCAATCCATGGTGGTTATTTTGACCATACTTCACGCTGGTGAGTGTGGGTTGGTAAAAGCAGGGAGTTAAAACGTGGGGTGCATATGAGTAGATTACAACAATGGAATGTTCTTCTGCCCGTAATGTAGCACACTCCGGATTATAACGCCTGTTATTCATGGTGGTCACACATCCAATGACTTTCCAGGCGTATCCATCAAACTAAGGAGGCCGAATTCTGCCGTAGATCTCAGGACGAGAATTGCAAAAAAAAACGTCTGGGAAAGACCGGGCCAACGGAAAATCATGGAGGCCCTTTCCACCAGTAAGTGGCGTGAGCAAGAAATCGCAGGGCTGCACCTTTTACAAATTCACGCCACCGTCAACGACACCGTCTCGAGAGTGGCGGTGGCGGTGCCGGAGGTGGCTATGTCGGTGGTGACGGTGGTGGAGTGGTGGCGGCGACGGTGGTGACAGTGGTGGCATGGTGGCAGTGGTGGTGGCGGTGGCTGTAGTGGCGGTGGTGACGGTGGTGGCGGTGGTGACGGTGGTGGCGGTGGTGACGGTGGTGACAGTGGTGGCGGTGGTGGTGGCGGTGGCGGTAGTAGCGTGGTGGCGGTGGCGGTGACAGTGGTGGTGGCGGTGGTGGTGACGGTGGTGGTGGCGGTGACGGTGGTGGTGGTGGCGTGGTGACGGTGGTGACGGTGGTGGTGGTGGCGTGGTGACGGTGGTGACGGTAGTGACGATGCGATCTCGTTTTGCGTCACTCGTCGCGAGCGGATGAGTTGCGGTGACACGGCTGACATTGGAACAATGCTCGCCGTGTCCGGTGACGCTCAATAATTTAGAGCCTCGGTCCGGTGCGCCGTGCGATTCAATCCCCGCCGCGCTTAATTGGCCCAGGGTACGGTTACAGCCGAGGCGCCCGGCCCCAACCCACCCCACCTGCGCCCCCCCCTACCCCACCTCTTGGGGGGACGTTCCCGCAGATTTGCGTCGTCCGCTGGCCGGCAACGCAGCCAGCGGTTGTTGCGCTTTGCGACAATTTGTCGGCGTCGCCGGCGTTCGGGAACGAAAGTAAATGGTGATGTAACATTAACTATTTAATGTGATGCGCACGCGAGGCCAGGGATAACAACAATAAATAAATAGGGTTATCGAAGAGTGGCGGCTGCCGGCGAACATTCTGTGCCCCAGCCGGCGATTGGCATCTTGGCGACAGCCCTCGTTTCTGGCCCAAGCGAGTGGAAAAGGTTTTTCTCTCTCAAAGTCCAGTTCCACATGACTACCCATGCCTCTACTTTCGCCGTCTGCGTGCCAATATTTTCCATTCGGAGTTAAATTGGTTTCTTGGTGCGTTCCACGCAACCGGATTTTGACAGCGCGAAATTTTTTTTGGAAGATTACAATTCGGCTCAAAAATAAAACACTCCATTATTAGTGATGTCGTTTATTTATTTAGGATGACGGCTTGGCGAGGGCTTTATCCAGCAGTGGATTGATCATGGCTGATGATGATGACGATGACATCGGTGGCGAGTGATATTTTAACCACCCAGCCCGCAACTGGCTCGCTGATGAAGCGCACAGTGCAGTACGTCATCTCCCAACGCCAACACGTTATGGGGAGGCATTCATCCAGCAGTGGATTGAAAACGAGATGTAAATTATTACCATTCATTATTACATTCAAATTGCACAATAACTCCAGCTTTTACAAATTTGCGATCCCCAAACGGAAACATTCAATGAAAACTTGGTCAAACAATTGTAAAGCCGACCACTTCATTCCAAATGAGTGAGCAGCGCCTCTCCACGTTCCGTACACACGGAAATCTGCCCGCTACGGCTTCATTCGGGATTTTAACATCCATTCATCCCTTGTTAAGCAGCGCTTTATTTTACTCGTTTGGCCAAGGAGGCATCGAAGGAGCGTGGCTTTCAATTTCTGTGCAAAAGCCTTCGTCTGTAACCGTGAACAATCATCTCTACGATACAGAGCACAACAATTCGGAACGACGTTGGAATCTTGGTTGTCGTATGTGGGGTGGAGCACGCGGGTCACAGCACGCTGCGCCGGAAAGAACTTAGAGTAAAGCAGCAGCTGCAGCAGCTGCAGCAGACAGGGGCGACTGATGGTCAACCACTCACCGATTCACTCCCAGTCACTCGCTCACTCACCGGCGGTAAGTCGTCTCTTCGTCCCTCTTCTTTACGCTCCTGCCCTGGTTACTCTGCCCCCCGAACTCCGCACATTGATAGCTTCACCCTTATCATGGGATACCTTTTTGCCATTATCAAAGTATGATCAATAATAATAGGTGTTACCCTTTCTGAAGAAGGCTATCTGTTTCTGGTGTAGGCCAATCAGTTTCAAAGACAATGCATTATTATACTTATTATGAGAGCCATGTTTGTTTGCATGTTCACCACAAGGACTTGTATGTGGTTAATGCAGACTTGACTCCCTGCAAAAGGTTTCTATTTTGTGTTTGAGCATCTTCACACCACCTGTTTTATTGCCGGAAAGGGTAAAACCTATTCCTATGCTCAAACCTTTGTGAGGATTCGGTCCACCAGATAAGACTGCTTAGTCTCATCAGTACTGTGTTAAAACCGTCACCGATCAGCACGATTGGCTACGTACGGTGGCGGAAGAAGATCAACATATATCAACACACTGCAGGTCACAACAATACTCACCCACTCGCTCACTCACTGACCCACTCACGCACTGACAGACTCACCCAACCACCCGCTCACCCAACCACACGCTCACTCACCCTCCCACTCAGCACACTGCAGGTCACAACAATACTCACCCACTCGCTCACTCACTGACCCACTCACGCACTGACAGACTCACCCAACCACCCGCTCACCCAACCACACGCTCACTCACCCTCCCACTCAGCACACTGCAGGTCACAACAATACTCACCCACTCGCTCACTCACTGACCCACTCACGCACTGACAGACTCACCCAACCACCCGCTCACCCAACCACACGCTCACTCACCCTCCCACTCAGCACACTGCAGGTCACAACAATACTCACCCACTCGCTCACTCACTGACCCACTCACGCACTGACAGACTCACCCAACCACCCGCTCACCCAACCACACGCTCACTCACCCTCCCACTCAGCACACTGCAGCTCACCTCACCGCTTTTTCTGCTCCACTTTGCAATTCCCTCCTCTCGTCGCCATCGTTTCATTGTCCCCAAGTTCTTGTAATAACCCCGCTCCATGAGAGAAACGTATCAACTCTTATCTCCTACACTTCTAGCAGTGCTGTTTGTTGCTGAAGAAGATGATGAAGACAAACAACACGACACTAAACTATAATCTATTTGTTATTTTACCAGGTAAGGCCCACTGATCTATGTCGCTCTTTTGCAGAAGCGACCTGGCTATCACAAATTAAAACTCAATGAAGCAGCTTGTCACGGGGAAATCTATCGCAGCCAAAGACTCTAAACGCGTGGTGATGTTGATTCTAAATGCGGAGGGAACTACCGGAGGACCCGGATTAAAAATCCACGCGACCACGGGGAGAGAGAGAGACACGCACACTCCAAATACACAGCAGGTGTCAGGGTCGCGATCGAGTCCACGGCCTCCTGTACACCTGGCGAGGTAGTTAACATCTCCTAGCCACAGTGGCGCCCACTGATTCCCTGTAAAACAAACAGCGGCGCGTGCGAGCGAGCGACGCGCGCACGCGAGCGATGGAAATGTACGCGACGTGATTATTATTATTATTTGCCCGGCTCACCCCGCACACCGTGTGACCGTAACAGACGCTCCTTATGTAGTGAACCCGTGAATGGTTAACTCGCATGGCGCTCGGCCACTGGCACGGCGCCCGATTAACACGACACGCGACCTCCAAAGTCCAGGCTATCTGAGCAACGACGAGGATCGTGATGATGACGACGATGGTGGAGAGTTGGTGGACAATGAACGTTGTGAGTGCCCTGTTAGGGGGGGGGGGACGCACGTGGCCAGAATGGTAATCGTATCCGGGCGGCCAGCAACGATCAGCGCTGTCATAATAGTACGAAACAATTCCTAACGCGCGCATATTTTGAGAATCGGACGCGATGTTCGATCGAAAACTCAGAGGTGCGGAGCCAGAGTTCAAAGTCCCTCGTATGTTGGCCTCAACCAGGTGAGAGGCTTGACAGGCGAGGGCCTGAACAGGTGAGAACCTGATTAGTTGAGGGCCTGGAGAAGTGAAGGCATGAACAGATGAGAGCCTGGACAGGTGAAAGACCGAACAGGAGAGAGATTAAACAGGTGAAGGCTTGAACAGATGAATGCCTGAACAGGTGAGAGCCTGGACAGGTCAGAGCTTGAACAGGTGAGCTTGATCAGGTGACCTGAACAGGTGTGAGCCGTGAGGTGATGCTTCAAGGTGCGCTTTCAGCGTCACTTGGTAATGAGACGAAGAATCCGTTCGGAAATCTCCTTGAGCAAGGTGTTAGAGAACGGTCGACGGAAGTGGACACCGCAGAGCTACCTCTGAGAGAGATCCCTCCGTGCGATACTCCGGTCCACACCACGGAGGTCAGAGCAATGCCACCTGCCTTGGCACGCAACGTAATATTTCTCGCGTGACAAAGGTATACAGTTTTTTTTTCATATTCACAGCTGGAATTTGGCCAAATTAAGTGGAAAGGCGACCACGCACCGTTGGTGTAAAAACACTCCTGCGTTGATGCGAAATTGAAGCCAAGCAAAAACATCTGGAGCAACAGTTTAGGTCTGCAAGAAGCTCAAAGGGGGCGTAGATTCACGAAGGCATATATGACTTGCACAAAATATCACCTTGAATTCGGGTTCACATCTCCTTTGTGACTTGGTGTTATCCATAGCCAGGAATCGAACTCGGGTAGGCAGGGTTTACAGCGCGCTGCACAAACCACGGCGCCACCGCTCACTCACCCATTACCCAGCACCCCCGATATCCCCGCACCCACAATTATCACGGTTGGCTATGTACGGTACGAAAGAAGTTCAACATACATGCATGCAACCCGACAAATACATACGACGCCTAATTAATGTGACAACGGAGACTGATCACCGTGTATCCAGAGATAAAAATGTAAGTACTTTAAACTTGATGCAAGCAGCCGTAATAACCACAACAACAGCAAGGTCACCACCGTGGTGGTCCCGATGGGACTGGCCGAGAGAGTCAGGAACACGCACCTTCTCGGAAGGAGGAGGTTCGTTCTCTTCCATGCTGTCCTCATTCTCGGACAGAACCCTGGCGATCTTGCTTTTGTACGAGTTCCAGAATCCCTGGGTCATCGTATCGTCTGTCCCCCTCTGACAGGTGCTAATTGCGGACGGAATTGCCAATTGCAGGGTGCGCTCGCTGGCTCGGGCAGAAATCAGGGGACGCGGGCAAGCCCCCTCTTGGGGCTTTGCGAAGTGTCGAATCCTGGCAGAGAGTTAGTTGGCTAGTGTGGAGGGAGTCTCGCGCACTCCTCGCTCTTATTATTCTTCTTCTCTCTACGCGAACAATTTCATAATTCCGCTGCTTGCGTCACATCTCTCTGGGGCTCGCCAGCGGGCCCGCTATTCTTTTCCTTCCTTTAATTTTTCACTTTGCTTTCCTGTAATTCAGCTCGCGGCCAGACCCCCTGCGCATTAATAATGACCACGCAGCCCTCAACAGTCTCGCTGGCTGCCGTGCTATGTTACCATTCACCGGTGGTGGCGGTGGTGGTTGAGGGGGGGGGAAGAAACCATTCACGTTAAGAGCCCCCCCCCCGCCTGCCGCCGCCACCGGAGATACACACTCACACACAGGCATGAGCCGGCCGCTTCAAAATAAAAGTCAGCGAGGCATCGTTTTACTGTTGCCACCGCCGCGAATGACTCACTCGGTAGCTACCGCCGCTGCCACCACCGTGACTTCGATTAAAATTGCATCCAATGCCCCCCCCCCCTCCACCCTGACCTGCCCCCCCCCCCCTCCGTGGACTCGCCATCACCGGCCCCAGATGTGTAACTTAAGAGTTGTGTCTTTGCGCGGCGATATCGGAGAGAAATGGTAGCCATTCCAAGCAGTTATTTTAGATTTCTGCACCTTTTATATTTCCTTTCCTGAAAGCAAGACCTGCCTTCCAGTGGGTGGCTGCGATGCCGCGATAAATGAGAGCATTGTTGAACTTGTGCCAGATTGTGGCTTTCGTAATGAACCTGCCTCAAATACAGGAATGTCCTACCCCCTGCCAGATAGGTGCATTACTCATATAACTCATATAATGTAAATGACTAAACATTACCTGGGCTCAGAAACGTCTCGTGTGTGAGTGTGTCCTTCATCAATTAGCTTTGCCAACGAATCTCTCATCATAATCATCATCTGCAGCAGCAGCAGCAGAAATGCTCTATCCACTTCATGATGAAGGCCCCCTCACGCCGTCACCATCTGTCATGGCCTTAGCGATCCATCTAGCAGCTGCACGAGATGATTCCCAAGCTCCGGGCTCCACGGTGGACGTCCTCTCAAAACAACGTCCCTCCGTTAACCACCGGCTCGTGAGTTCTCGACCACCGGCCATCAACTCACGCAGCGACGCTTCTCCTGCCCACTGCCCTCTGCCCTCGTACTTGTTTTACACGCTCTCGCTGTGATGTCTCGAACGTTCTCCCATGCGCGCATCTCGCCTCCCGTCTCTCGGCGTAATTCCAAGCGCGCCCCTTCCCCCCACCCCCCCACGCTTCTTTGAACACGTCTCACATTTTGCAAACTTCCCGTGCCTTTGTTGATGTTCACATTTCCGATCCGTATATCGTATAGAGGTAAATAAAAATATACATATATAACATACTTCCAAGGACAAAATGTCACGTTGAAAATCGTTGCAGAATCCATGCGTATGCGCGATTTATTTGTTTAATCTCTCCCTTGTTCATCACCGACCTGGGGAAGATTTCTGCCCAAGTTGGGTTATTTTCAGCTATTTTCTCAAGACGTGAATCGGGCTCCAAGTATGGAAACATGTATCTAATTTACTGCGCTGTCCACCGAGAAAACATGCCGGAGTTTGTCTTTCGCCATCCCAAGGTCATAATCGTTGCAGCGTATCAGTGCAATGAGAACGAGGCTTGTTGGCTTCAACAGAGGTAAACATCCCTGCAAGGTGCTGGTCATGTTGCAGGACTAGTTTTATGCAACGGTCTTAATTTGATCTTTTCATTCCAATTGCAAAGTTGAATATTTGGTTGCCAGACAAACGCCATGCCGAAACGCAAGTCTAAAAAAAAACAATTTTAACATACAATGATGACTTATTTATCCAGGAAAGCCACGCTTTTTTAAGAGGGTACTGCTGCTACATTATTTTTTATTTTAATATTTTTCAGCCAATTAACAATGAGTATTCATACGAGTAGGAGGAAACCAGAACACCCAGTGAAAACGCCCGTGTGCGAGGGGGCAACACCATATCCCCGCAATGATGGAAATAGATGGAGATTAGTGCACTTGCTGTGCTGCTTTTGTCCTGCCGAGCCAGGTAATGGGCACCTCGACGCCCACGGGGAGTTTCACGACATTTGTGCGGTGATCCACCAACCCTTGCTGCTGCCTGCAGTGCTGGATTTCAGGTCACATGCAGAGCTACCACCACTCCGACGAGACGTCACTAACCAGTGAAGACTTACGGAGTGTTTTTTCTCGAACATGTCTACAAAAAAATGCTTTTTGGTTCATGTCAGTAGTTTATGGTGGACACCGAAATGTACGATTTCACACCAACGATCAAATCGCCCGGATTGCACCCGACGTCATCAGATGTCGCAAGCTAAGCGGAGCCTGACCAGCGTGTGGATGGACGGGTGACCACCTGGTACACCGGTTGGCTGGCATAATGCTGCCAGGATACGCTGTGCGTACCGCCATTGTCCACCGGCACCGACCAGCTTGGTGAAGTATGGTCAGACGATAGCCATGGCCGGCATGGCATCGAAAGGCTCCCATGCCGCAGTGCATTGCCAAAAGGGCTGTACTCGTGCAACGCATTTATATACTCTAGGTCTTCACCGGAAACAAGAAAAGGATATACAGTAACAATTGATGAAATATATTCCTTTCACAAGCCATGTATTTTATGGTCTGTGCAAGAATAACGGTGAATGCAAATGACTTATATGCAAATGTAACACAAATTTTAACTTGTAAGGTCACGGGAGTGAAAAAGCGGTACAAATGTGACAAAATAAGAGGAACAGGGGAGGCAACGGTAAAATAAAAACACATTACTTAACTGAATTACATCCATGAGACGTGAATATTCAACACGTTGCTGGGTGTGTGAATTGGTAGGTGCCTACAGGTCTGATTCCGTATGTCAAGTACTCGTGGAACCTGTGTGGTACTTTATCAGAGCACTCTGCTCAAACGCACAAGCAAAAACCACAACGTACCAACCCCCACTTCTACAGCATTCACATTTTATTTTTAAAGGTTAGCGTTGATGAAACAGCACATGTCCTTCGTACACTCAAGCATTAATGCGTAATAACTTAACGGGGTAACGCAGTGTTAAAATCTAACTGTAACGTTACACTAACACAAGCGTACACAACTTAAATGTGCGATTAAATGTCTTACAGCGTTTGCGTAGTGCTACGGCATTATAGTGTCAGCAACAAGAAAATCAAAACACATTACACACGAATGTGCCCTTACGAGCCCTTTTTCCACTGGCACATCCGAGCCGAGCCAGCACAGGGCCATCACGGCACGGCTAGTTTTCCACTGGATATTTTCTGAGCCATGCCAGAACCATACAGTGAAACCCTGGTCTCTAAAAACATTTCAATCTGGCCCGGAGTCAAGCAGGGGTCAATGGAGGGGTTATTAATATTTTATGAGTGTGGTTGGCTACGTACAGGGTGCGAAAGACGTTCAGCATACATGACATGTACATTTTTTTGCGGTAAAAATAAAAAAAAAATACGAATGCACATGTGACAGGAGTGGCACAGCTCAGATTCTGCAGAGGAAAATCAACCTGGCTCCAGCACGGCTTGGTTATGCAGTGGAAAAAGAGATAGTTTCGACATTCACAACTCCATCTCCACTGCTATTTGAAAACCGTAATTTCCTTCTGTAATAAGAGCTTCCCAAATAACTGACCATACACACATCACCAACGCGGAATCTAGCTCTCACTTGCGATCGCGTTCACCCGTCGCACGCTAGGAGGTAAGCTGGCTAAGTTAATGCACAAACACAGGACAGAGCTGCTGACGTGCATTATGGTAATCTCAGGTCATAGGTCAGGACCAAATAGGGTCACGACCTCTTAGCTACAATAAAACTGGGACATATTGATGGGGAGAATATCTCATAATACAAGAACAGAGAACTACAAGTAAATGCGTTGTCTTGAGAGAGTGGCGACAAAAAACCAGCACAATTAATTCCCAGGAAGACTTTCCCAGGACAGTTACACAAGCAAGAGGATGAACCTGGAAAAACCAGTAGAGGTGACAACACTAAGTCCACATCTTTGGCTACCTCTCTCTCATGACCGTTCAGGCTGACTGGACTGTGAATGTGGCCCAGGCATCAAGTCCTGCAAAGAGGAAGCCTTCGAGCAGTACTGCATGTCCTTTGGATTAAAAGGCCCCTGCCATAGGAATATGGAATTTCTACTTTTGGCTCAGAGGCGCCAATTGAGATGAGCACCATCCAATGTTACTTGAGCAGGGCCAAGGTTTTGATTTGTTTCAACCATACAAAAACAGAACAAAGAAACCACTGACAAACCAAAAGTAACAAAACATCATACATGGCCTTGATGTTGCAATTAGTGAAATGCCTCCTGTGCCGAGGTCACTCTTGCAGTACAAAGACAAAGGTCTCTCTATAAATTCCCAGACTGCTGCGGCCAGTGCTGTTAGCGAGCAATTATCAAGGCCGCCGCAATGTACAACGGGGTGGGGGGTGGGCAAGCGCCACGCCTAGCCGTCTTTGTCTTCCCCAGTGCTGATGTTTATACATCGGTTCCGATTCGAATATCACTCGTCACTGATACCAGCCGCGGCCGAGAATCTAAATCCGGTCTACCGAGTTCACGCCACTCCGTCTCTTGCAGCACACAAACACACAAACAGGTGCACAGGCAAACCGACTCAAGGACATGGTCAGGGGGACGGGACCACGGAGTATTTAGGAACCACTCAAAGACGCAACTGAAAAAGAAAAAAACGGCTATCTCGTAGCTACGAGGGTTGCCGCGATGTATTTTTTCACGATAATATATTATTTATTTTCATGATACGATGATTATCGCGATACCAGTGTTCCACAGCTTTGTAACTGCATTTCACAATTCTATTGTTTTGTGTGTTGTGCTTTACTGTGCCACCAGTACCAATAGGTATTTACTTTGAACGTTCAACTGCAGTCCACTCAACTGTAATCCTACCATAGCCCTTCTCTTCTCATTGCAACGTTAGAATCTGCACCCCTCATAATGCACACGCTGTCCGTTACACGGCAAAATAAATACCTGGAGTGCGAACGTGACATCGTATAACCGACATGCTGTCAGTTACTCCGAAAAAACTTGTTGCTATATATTTAGCAATAGCTATTTATTTAGAGCATTATCAACTGTACTTTTGCTATTTCATTTCATAAATATTTGCAGGTGACAACCAGTGACAGTACATGGATATAGTTTGCAGAAAGGGGCGACGATGCGACTATCGTGGGCCTTGTACCGACCGGTCTATCGTGGCAGCGCCAGGTCACGACAACCCCAGCAGCCACACAGCTGGGCCGTGCGTCCCGGGCTGTCCTTCACGGTTCTGCGCGATTTAAAAAAATGTGTTCATGAGAAAAAAATACTTTTAAGAAACTTTCGGGCACACAGAAACCTTATTCGACTTGCCGCTTTGTTTGGCTTTCTCACGGAATATCCCATACTGTAAAACACCGTTGTAAGGAACTGAACATTCTGCCGTGTTCCAGGACTAATGGCGACGTTCACAAGCGGGAGGAGACTCGCTTGCAAAAATAAAGGATGGTTACTCGGCGAACTTAGCAGGGAACCTGAACTGATTTGAATGCAATTCAGCAGACATCAAAGCTAAGCGAGAACATACGTATGTACGCATGTAGAACTTCTTTCACGCCATATGCAGCCAACAGTGCTCAGGTCGAAGGTGCGAGAAGTCAACAGTGAGCGGTGTAAAGTCGACACAATCGCATCCATGCACTCCCTTACGGAGCACATCAGCGCTGCCTCACCGAAGTGAGTTGAAAATCTCAGTTTATGAGCATCGTCGCTTGTAACCATCGCTGGGTATGCGCGCACTTGCACACGCACGTACCGAGAGTATGCACATGTCAACAAACCGGGTTCACGTGGATCTTCGACGTGTTGTCAGGTTTTAGTGCGCGTTGTTTGGCACGAGGTCGGACGTTCCACCCCACGTGCCAGGAGCTTGTTCAGGAACTGAACAGGAACTGAAGTCAGAAGCAACCAGCGCATAGAGCGACGCACAAAAATGAAAACACGTCGGAGGGGCTGTCCGGCACGACCGGAACTGAATTAACTTCCCGAAGAAGCTCCCAGCATGTGGGGTGAAACGTTGGACGTTATGCCGAACAACAACTAGCGATATAAGTCGAAAACAAGACCGCAAAATACCCACGTAGTAATTAACCAAGTCATGTATGTACAGTGAACCAGTTTGCTCAAATCAGTTCTTAAATAATTAGGCTCTGTGCAGCCAACGCCTGCGTACGACCCACGAATAATTGAGCACGGGTATTGGAAGGGGGATCTGGGTCCCACTCTCCGCCTCGGCACGAGTGGCGTTGGCGCGTGAATTCCGGGGCTTCACTTGGTCGACTGCCAGATGATGATGGCGATGATGGTGGCGATGACGACCAGGATCACCAGCAGGATGCACATCTTCTTGCGGGAGGCTCTCTGCGTCGTGGCAATCGGGCAACGGGGAGGAGATGCGACCCAAAATAAGTTAGGAAAAAAAATCACGAACAGGCATGGATCACGCAAACGTTTGCAAAATACGCATTTGTCCTCGGTGGAATTACATCAGTGGTACCGGAAACCGATTTGCAGCTGTCAGGGCAAAACATAACATACGGGTTCATATTCTTGGTTCTTTCGGTAAAGTCACGTAGAAGGGAAACAATAAAATAATAAAAATAAAAAAACAATAAAATTATCACGACGTTTCGACTGCAACACAAGCAATCATCATCAGGTGTGAAAACCACAACAAGAAAATTTGAAAAATTTGAATTTGAAAAATTTGAATTTTTTAACAAGAAAATTTGAAAAATTTGAATTTGAAAAATTTGAATTTTTTTCAAATTTTCTTGTTGTGGTTTTCACACCTGATGATGATTGCTTGTGTTGCAGTCGAAACGTCGTGAGAATTTTATTGTTTTATATTTTTATTATTTTGTTTCCCTTCTATGTGACTTTACCGAAAGAACCAAGAATATGAATCCCTGCAGTCACGAAAGCTTTAAATAAAAATTTATACGGGTTCATATTTGTAAAAGGTCCTTCCTGGCTCAGGATGGCCTCTGGATTGGAACCGCGAGCCAATGCAACAAGCGGCTCCGACTGGGCCGCGACGCCGCCCTGCCGATGGCCGTGCGTGTCCTCACCTGGTACTGGGCGGCACGGCGCAACTGTTGCTCCGCGTGGTCCACGTGCACCTCCGCACTCTCCACGTTGGCCTCGATGCTGTCTATGGGGCAGACGGGGGGGGGGAGGGCAGCTGTCAATCTATAGTTTTATTTGTATTGTTTGTGATTTGTTTGTCTTTCCTATACTTTGCACTGCCATCGTGTTTTTGTATTGTTCGTCATTGTAATGTCCTGACCTGACCCTACTGTAATCATCAGATTCCTCCAGTGTAAATATTCTGATTTCGATTCTGAATCGGCACAGTGGCAGCTTTGTGCAATGGAGCCTGTTATTCAGAACGTTTGTGGAATGCTCTTCGCTTAGAACTAGGGCTGCATTAATCGATTTTCTCGATGCAAATGAGAAGGGGGATGTGGTCATAAGCATGTCCGCATGCCTTTCTGTCTTGAGTACTGTGGGTTAATGCACCACACCGGGTGGTAAACTAAGGCCGCGTTGCCTTTGAAGCCCAAGATAAGGCAAATAAGGCGCAAATATACAGAGCAAACCTTGACTCACTCAAAAGGGCCACGTACACTCATGAGCCACACACTTGAAACCACTCGCGTAACAATTCATGCTTACCTATACACCCTTCCGTAAACGTCGCTAAACCGCTATGAAAACTCATCATATTCGTACACATTTCACATTCATGCGACAGCTCAGTCAACAGGACAGTCCATACATACTCAACACTGAGCTCGAGATATTCATGAACAGACAAGGTCACACTCACGTACATATTAAACCACAATTACTCACAACAACAACAGCTGCCATTTGCCGTGAAGCGGTGGTGAATAAGCAGGCGTGGCTAAGTAAAAGTGGGTGAGGCCGATAGGGGGAGGGAGGGGCTGCCAACTCGGCATGTGACCCGGTTGAGCCTCCTGTAAACCAGGTGGCTTCACACAAGCCCCACTCACTCACAGACGCCCCACCAACACCAAAGAGCATTGTACTCTGGGCAAAAAAAAAACTCACGTGCTTCTCACTCATTCTCCTTTGATGCCCCAAACACCTGGAATTCCATCGCTTCAACAATGCCATTGGCTCCTCTCCCATCTACATCACAATTTAATGCCGAGCTGTCGATTCTTTATGAGAACGTAAATTGCAATCGTATTTGACTCAAATTCTTGTTTGTATGTATGCTGAACTTATTTCGCACTATGCGTAGCCAATTATGCTAACCGGATGTGCAATAATTATCAATCTAAATCTACTTTGATGTTTCTATAACTTAACCTTTCGATGCAGGTTTAAATTTTCTTCCGTAACGTGGTTATTTTTGCTCCGATTTTGATGACCCAAAGTCACTCTTGCATCCTGGTCTCTCGAGTTCTCACCTGGTTAAACAAATAGACGTAGAACTTTAAATTATAACTGGCCCATCAGTTCGCACTCCAGGGCGTGCATATGCCACCGCCGCTGCACTCACCGACCATATCTCCCTGCTCGTGGATCATGGTGCCCAGGTCCTTGAAGATCTGGTTGACGTCCATGATGTCGGCCTATTATCATCATCAATCATCGGACAAACGAAGGTGGTTTGAGAATTAGACAACAGAGCAAACGCTAGGGCCACTGTTAAAGCCGTAACTATGTGCACTCATGTGCACATCTACAGGCCTCTTTGCCAATCCACTACTGGATATTTCTTCCCCATACTTCACCACGTCAGTCGGTACAGGTTGGTGGAGGCGGGGAGTTTAGACATGAGGGCATAGAAGTATAGTACAATAGCATTGTGGATTTTGCTCTACTGCCCTCTGCTGCCCACCACGTCGCCCCAGAGTCTGGAGCAACCAGTTCATCATGCAAGATGATTGCCCATGCCAGCACTGTCCAGGATTCATGCTGCTTAGCTTCCGAGATCTACCTCTGACCAAATCAGTATCCTTGTATTATGGAACCGAGGACTTCTACAACATGTGGTGAACGCGCTACCACTGGGCCCCATCACAGCCCAATGCTACAGTAATTAGCAGACGACGAGATTCTCCCTCCCAAGACCCCGGCGCTGGGTGCCGTCAGAGCACCTCGAGCTGGCGAATCGCCGTCTCCCTCTCCTTGATGTCCTCCAGGTCCTCCTCCGTGATGGCGGGCTCCTCCGACTGCAGCTGCCTCTCATCCTCCTCCCTGCAAGCCAGCAGGTGCCGCAGTGGCGAGATGTTAACTACCTCGCCTAGTACGCAGGAGGTCGTGTGTTCGATCCTGACCCTGACGCCTGCTGTATATTTTGACTTTGCATGTTCTCCCTGTGGTCGAGTGGATTTTTCTCCAGGTCCTCCGGTTTTCTCCCTCCAGATTTAGAATTAACATCATACTCTGATAATATATGCATTGTCTTTGAAACTGATTGGACAGTTTCAAAGACAATGCCACATATTATCAGAGTGTGTTTCTTGGTTGCATTTTGACCACAAGTATTGTGGTTAATGAGGACATGATTCCTTGTAAAAGGTTTCAGTTTGGTGTTTTACCAACATAACACAGCTGTTTTGTTGCCAGATAAAAGGGGGAAAACCTATTCTCATGAAGGCTTTATGTTAACCATGGCCGGAAATTGAACTTATGATGTCAGGTCCACTGCGTACCGACTTTCCATGGCTATGCTTTTCTGTAACCGCCATGAAAGTTCATCGTTAACTAAATCCTGCACAACTCAATGGGGCGCGCGTTGCTCGTGTGTCAAACGACGACTCCACGTACCCGTCAAGATTCACCAACGTGCCTTCCCTCGGCCCCTCGTCAAAGAAATTCTCCTGCAGAAATATCACGCACACAATGCGGTCATGTTAATAATTTTCATCATCATCCTATCCTCCCCATCGCCAGCCATTGTCTACCCCACTGTTGTAGGCCTCCCCACACTGTTACCATCCCAGACCAAATCGGCCAATCATCGGCAGACGCATTTCAGTGTGACGACAGAAACCACGGTTGCGAGCGGACGGCCTCACTGTGACGCGTGACTGTGCCCGGGCCCGCGCCACGTTCTCCCGCTCCTTGTCGGCGGCACGCCGCTGCGTGGCCTGGAAGCTGTTGAGGGCAGCTGAGAACTCGTTCATCAGCCGCTCGCGCTGCATCTTCCGCTGCCGCTACACACGCGAGAGTTAACAGAACAGCGTTATCAAATGCACGTACGTATGTTGAACATCTTCCGCACCGTACGTCGCCAACCGTGCTAATCAGAAGCGCGAGAAAAAAACAACAAACTAAACCCAAAAAGCACTTCTAAACAAATTACATTTTCAATTTAGATTTAAAAGTCCATAGCTCCCAGTGGCTTCCTAATACCGGAAGGAAGAGCATTTCCAACGGCTGCAGCACATTTGTTGATGGATAGCCAAAAACAAGCTCGTCTTTGGTTTATTAAATCACAGTTGCCGTGACCAGCACCAAAGGCCACAACGACCACAAAAGCAAAGTGAAGTGGTCAGCAACAAACAGCACGACTGATGGCGTAATAGAATTGAGTGAGTTTGGAACAACTTTGTAGAAGAGACTATGAGAGGGAGTTCCAAAGTTGAGCAGTGCATGAGAAGATCACCTGCTCAGCCTGGCTGGACATGGGTGGCAAGGAGCCCAGCTCCTTCAGCTGCTGGTTGGTCTCCTTGGCCAGCTGGTTTGTGTAGTGCTGCAGATTCTGCCTGCGGGAGCATGGCAACACGGGAGAGTTCTCGAGGCGTACAGTATTAACACGCGAAACACAAATCACACTTGTGTATAGACTTTTGTACAACCACTGCAGGGACGAGGGCCTCCCCACGTCATATTTTGTTGTGGGGGGATACCTGACCGTAATTGATCACGCTGGTCAGTGCGGGGTCGGTGACGGCAGGGGGCACAGATGTGCAAGTACAGAAGAACCACAGCATGTAATTGTTGGGGGGGGGGGGAAGGGGAATAAAGCAAGAGGCGGCATTCCCGTGAGGTGCAATCGGCTTACAGGCGCTCCAGCATCTCGGTCGTGTCCTCCACCGTACCCAGCTGTGCCACCATCCTCTGGATCTGTGACGCTGCGGGACAAGGCAGAGCGTTAGGGGGAAAACACTGTGCACGCAAAACCAAAGGCAGTAAGGACTTCTTGAGCAAAAAATATCGCTGAGACAATCAAGGAATGATAACCCAATCGCCAGGCATGTGCCCGATATTGGCACATTTCGGAAGCTCAGCGGGTTTTAGATGGGATGCTGGATGGATGGGTGATAATCGTGCATAAATACGTTGCTATTCCCTGCGGGGCTACGTGGTGGGCAGCAGAGGGCAGTTCAGCAAAAGCCAAATGTCCTGTACGTCTATGCTCCTATGTCTATGCACCCTGCCTTCAAAACTCGCCCCCTACCGATCAGCGAGGTGAAGTATGGTCTCACCCAGTTGCCAACAAACGAATGCTTTAAATAGGCACGATATAATTCATTACTGCTTGCACGATTTGGAGAATTGTCGTGATTCTCTGTCACAATCCGATTTAATAATACATTTTTCTTGTCTCATTTGTACCGTCTCATCTCTAGCGTCTATCGCATTGATAGCATTTGTCTAATTTGGGGCCGACACATGGGCATCAACCCAGGATCTCATTGGTGCCGGCTCAGTGAGCAAGTACATAGATTTGGTTTTCGCACTATTCCTATCGCAAAGGCTATCACAAAGGCGATGTCTTCATGCTCGGGTCACTGAACTTCCTGGCCAGCCAGCCACTTCCACATGCCTAGTTGTTAAAACGCAAGTAAAACGCCAGACAGTGCAACGCGTGTGTGTATGTGTGTACGGGCATTCCACACTTCACGTGGACCTAAAGTGCACATAGCCTGACACAAGCGCCATGGTGACGTCACCGACACTTAGTGGCGAATGGCGTTTGTTATTGTTGTTGTACGGGATACTCACTATTCTGTGAGATCTTCTGGATGTTGGTGCCGACGGTGTGCGCGAGCCGACCAAACTCTGCTGCGGATCCGCTCTCCCGTGGCACCTGGCGGTACGCGCCGTAGCTCCCATCGGAGCCGGAGGGTCGCCCGTACGACATCGTTGCTCCTGTGTCTCAGCTCGGTCTGCCGGGGAAAAGAAAACACGTGGCGGCACTCTGGAATGCCGCGTCCCGCTCCTAGGCAAAGAGTAAAAGGCGGGCGGCCATTTGAGGACAGGGAATTTTAAAATAGATTCGCGCAGTGAGGTCGCGCAAATAGGAAAGCGAACGTTCAGAAATATGCGGAACCGTTTCATCGACATTATCATTGTAAGCCACGCTCAATCCACTGCTGGATTAAGGTTCCTGAAACTGTCAATCTATCACAGCCCTGCCATGTAGCAATGAAGTTCAACCCTTGCAAATGATGCAATGTTTCTCAGGTGCCCAATGGGTTTATGTAATCTCATGGTAAAACAAAGGATAATGCCTGACTTAGCACCTACACACGAGTCGATTTCACAGCTCCATCTCTGCACGTTCCCTCTTCCCTTCCAGCGATGTGTCCTGCCCCAGACCACTTATCTTTCTTTAGAGTAAATATTATGTTCATAAAGCACAAAATTAAGCTATCTAGAATATGACTTATAGTATATACATAGTCAACGGTGGAATAACCTTTTTTCAATTTAGCTTGTTCATAAAGATAGCTGGCCTCTACATTGTCCATTATTATTATTCTCCTTGTGATCTATGTGAACAATTAAAACGAGTGGATTGGAAGATAATGTGTCTGTCATTTTTCAAAATCTGTTTTCCCTAACCCTTTCAAGACGATGATTGTGGCTTAAACTGTGGTCGAGGCATTTCTTTTATGTGTAAAAATATATATCCTCGTTGTGTTACAACATCAGGCCCTGTTTCGTTAATGATGTCTGCAGTTATTTCATCATATTCCAAAGCGTTCCTTGTTTTCATTTTGCAAAGGCCACTGGTTACTTCTTCAACTGTGACATTGGGAATTTACTCCTCTTCCTTTGAAAAACGTATTACTGTCATTCCCTGGGATATCTGATAGTTTTGCAATGTGATATGTTGTGAACGTAGTGGACCTCTTGGTTGCAGGGGTGATGTGAACTATTTATATACATGTAACATATTTCACACTATAGGCCACTTCGTTGAGCTATCATTTGTGGCCACGTCGCTTCTGAAAAAGAAGCTAACGGCTTATTGGGCTTCACCTGGTAAGATAACAAAAAGTTTAGTTTTATTTGTATACATTTTAAGTGATTTGTTTACCATTCCGATACTTTGCACTCCTATCGTGTTTTCGAATTGTTTGTTGTTGTAACGTTCTGACCTGCCCCATCGGTACATCTGTGAAAAATATCTTTATAGCTCATTGGATTCCTCCAGTATAAATAAATATTCTGACATATACGAATTGAAAACCAGTGATTCTTACATAAACGATTCCATTGATGCATCGTGAGCTTAAGACTCTTATCCATAATAGAGGTTTTTTGAGTTTGAGCGTGTGAATGTGTGTCGTTAAAACCCGCCACCACCCAACACAGCCAACTAGTAAGGGTTGTCACGTAAACAGAACGTGGCCAATTCGTCACTAGTACAGCACACCGGTGTATCCTGTGGCAACATTCACAAGCTGAGAACGACCTTTCGCCAGTAATTACAAGTAGCTTCATCAGGCAACAGCCAGAGTTGTGGAGAAGCCCACCTGTTTCGTTTCTTATATCTATATAAGGATATCTATATAAGGATATAAGGAACCAAAAAAACATCTATTATGGATGTTGTCGCGAAAGCCTATGTGTTAAACTTAAGACTGTTAATTGATCAATCAATGCATCATTCTACTCCTAATACGTTTACTTTGAGATACAATCGAATCAATCGCATTTGTAGGCCTTTGTAAATCCACTGCTGGATGATGGCCTCCCCATGCCACGTGGGCCATGGGGGATGTTTGACCATACTTCACCATGTTGTGCAGTGATTGTAGGAGACCCGTATCACTTGTCACTGATGTCAGCCATGGCAGAGGCCACGGGTTCGTAGCCCAGTGCGCACGTCAGGCGAGCCAGCGCATCACCCCCACCTTACAGATATGCTTCTCATATGTGCTAGTCATTAAGTTATCAGTCATTGACAAATAAAAACCACCACTGTTAACAGGCAATTAAATGTGTTTTGTTGCAACGGATTTTTGTTTATTATGATTCAGTAAAGTAGTGCCAAGAATCAGTGACCGTCACAATATAAGACAGTCACAATATAAGATGTTAAGTGTGTTTATATATCGGTTTAAGAATCATCCAGATTCATGCTAAAGGTCACAAGTGTCTCTATATAGGCTGGGCCACTGTGCAGCTTGAAGGCATGCGCTCCTCATTTGGCGAGCAAATGCGCCAAAAAACAACCACCAGCTGTAATTATCGCGTCCAGGGCGCATGCTTCGTGCCAAGGAGCATGTGACTTGGTTTTCAGACTGAGTCCCTGGTGAGTAGCAAGACATTAGCTGCATCTGCGCAGAGTTGAACATTTACACACGGCAGTATAGCAGTAGCCATTCCCTTTCCAGCTTCTCCAAGGGCATACATAAGCATTTTAAATAAAAAGGCAGCAATGTAAACATCAGGGTCTTCCTTTATCTAACAAGTAAACAAGTCAACCTGTGATCAAAATAACCCAGAATGTAACTGGTTTTGCCAGATCTCAGGAGCTAAGCAGAGAGTGCTTGGATGGGCAACAACCATGCAAGGCAGGTGTTAAAGGCTGTTCGGTAAACACGAGAGTGCATGGGTGTAATTGTCTAGGTCTTGGAGAGCAAAGGAAATTTCAGTTAACTCCCTATATCTAAGCTCCCTACCATCACCGATCGACACTGACCATCTTGTTGAAGTCAGGTCAAATCAAACCCATGAATAGGACAGCATGGTATAAGGCCTTCATACAGCAGTAATTTGACAAGAAGGGTTACACATGTACACGTAAACAAGTGAAAATATGGTGATATTCACCCACCCTGTCAATTCGTAGCAACCACTCCGGCCATTAGGGGCAATTAAAAAGCATTACCTGCTCTTCGCGAGAAAATTACTCTCCACAGACTCAGATGAGATCACGTGCGTTATGCACGTGATTGCTCAACGCGGGAGTGTCTCGCTGGGCTTGCTTCAGCCAATTTCAGCATAGAGAATTGAGTAATCTTTTACTCATTCAATTCGAATCTGTTGAAAGACGGACAGCAAGCATATACTACCAGTTGTTTTTGTTTAACACATTACAACTCAGGTTGAAAGTGATCATAAATTAGCGCTGTCCACCATCTGTGTCTCCGTCTAAGTATCTGTAATGCGGGGGGGCACTATAAATTTCGTAAAGATGGTCCAATAAGATCCGACATAGCGTAAAGTTGTGTTTATATTAGGGAATTGCCGTGGAGAAAACCTGTCAAATTAATTAAAGGGTTGCCTAAAACTTGGGAGAAAACACTCAATAAAAATTACGACAGCATTTTCAAATGCATAAACACATTTTGCTCTGATAATATATAGTTAACCGTCAACTTCTGTACAAATAAAGACTTCTGAAGTCAAATGCATGTTGGATAGCGTTACATAAGCCACGCGTAACGACTGGTTTTAAGATGTATTTCCAAAGAACAAGTTAAGTTCGGCCATAATATAGGTATTTTTGAGTGATATCACGTAAATATAAATGTTGTTGTTAAACCCGCCACAACCAATAAGGTTTTGTTACGAAAACTAAATATGCTAATTCGTTACTAGTTCAGCACACCGGTGTGTTGGAGAGCAAATCCACAACATTCACAAACCGAGTAAGACGTTTCGCCAGTAATTACAACTTGCATCATCAGGCTGACAGCCAGATCTGTGGAGAAATCTTCCTGTTTCATTCCTTAAATTGAGGGATAGATGTGATGACGCCGACGTGTTCATCTATGTTCTTGGTTCTTTCGGTAAAGTCACGTAGAAGGGAAACAATAAATTAATAAAAAATATAGAACAATAAAATTCTCACGACGTTTCGACTGCAAAACAAGCAATCATCATCAGGTGTGAAAACCACAGCAAGAAAATTCACACCTGATGATTGCTTGTGTTGCAGTCGAAACGTCGTGAGAATTTTATTGTTTTATATTTTTATTATTTTATTGTTTCCCTTCTACGTGACTTTACCGAAAGAACCAAGAATATGAATCCCTGCAGTCACGAAAGCTTTAAATCAAAAAGTGTTCATCTATGTTAAGTTCGGCTATTTAGAACTCAATAAAAAACGTGGTTTCACGTGCCTCCCGCATGACGTGTCATCGATCACCAGCGGCAAAGACGTGTAAAACTGGCTTTCAGGGGACGTTCAATTCTTCTTACAGGCCAATGGGGAAATCTTGGGATAAGTGATTTCAGCTAGTGCAGGAGGAATGGCTTTAAAAGCAATGCTCATGTTTGTGCCAATCAGAAGTCCCTCAGAAATGTACATATATACTGTATATATAAAACCATGTGTGAACAATTTTAAACAGTGACGGATACAATAAAAAAACAAGGCTGCTGAAATATCATAGGAGTTAACATGTTCGACAATTTGCGATCCTGCAGAGGTAATGGTTTCATTCACTTTGCACACACATGGCAATTTCTGTCAGGTATTTCCAAAGCAAACTCTGTGCTGTAAAATAGATCTCAAAGACGCTGTGATATGAAAATTCACAAAGAGTAGACAATTGCATATCAGTGTCACTGTTCAAATTCTAATCTGAATTTACCACATCAACTATTGCCAATAAGGTCGGCTTACAAGATCGTAGCTTCCACAACAAACAGAACGTATTTACTATCTCACACATTACAGTCCTCAAGTCACTGCAAGGTTAATGTTAAATCTCACGCTGCTGTTCCATGTAAACAAAGCCACAGATGTAACGAGAACACATCCTCTTGCCACACACCTCAATACAGTTTTAAAGCAATAAACGTAAAACAATTGTGAAAACACCGTGATTGAAAGGACGTATAGGAGGGTGTTGTGGTAATAATACAAATTCTGCATTTGAAACTGCTAAGAGAGATGAGGTAGTATTACTAAAATAAAAGATAGTGGAATTGAGAGGAAGTCAAACATAAGCACAAGGCCAAGGTATTGAACATAGAAACAGTAGAAATGTACAACGTGATGGGGGAGCATCGTTTCAGACCTTAGGGAAAGAAGAGGTAAGTCTTGAGTAAGTTCTTATTATGTAGGTCATGAGTAAGGTCTTATGAGGTAGGTCTTGCGTAGGGTCTTACTTGAATAGGGGGGACACAATCAGCAATGAAAACAATATTACGTTTAAGACACGAGGAGCTACAGAGGAAAAGTCACAACCATTCACCAAGCGCATTAAAAGCAGTGGTATCACAGGAGACATTAGTTACTGGAACCTGCACAGGTGTGTAATATCTAGCGCCTAAAAGTATTATCAGCAGTAGAGCGGATTAAGTGCCCTATAAAAAAGACAGAGACACGGTAAGAGAGAGAGAGAGACACACAAAGACATGGAGAGGGAGGCAGAGACAAAACCCCAGAGAAAGACAGACACACAGATGTGGATAGACAGTGAGATTGACCAAGAAAAATTGAGATACGGAGGATAGACGTGAAGAGACAAGGAGACGTAAAACATACAAAACGACAGACAATAATAGCGACACAAATAGGTACAATAGAGATCACAGAATCACAGTAACACCGAGACAAAGAGACAGCCACAAAGACACGGAGAGTGATAGACCTCGTGACAAACACACAAAAGACAAGGCACTCAAGGGCATATACACCAAGGCATGCGGACATAAACACCGGGAGACAGACACGGGAAAATAGACACACAGAGACACGGACCCACAGAATAGATCCCAAGACACAGATACACTGTGACACAGACAGAAATAAAGACAGGACATTGACATACATAAATACACAGGGAGCGACACGGAAACTCTGACATGTATACCGTCAGTCATTTCAAATTTCGCTGTTCAATTCGCTGAGATCATCATCCTCGGGCCTCCCCGGTCATCCCCCCCCCCCACCCCGGCTCGGATTGCACGCCCCGCCGGGCTCAGCGCGCCCTACTCAGGGAAGACTACCCCAGCGGCGGTGACTCGGTAGGCCCTGGCGAGCTCCACCAACGAGGGCGAACAACAACCCTACAGCTCAATAAATTCTGAAGGCGAGCGCGACTTAACGAGCGCGGGCCGATGAAAGCAAACGTACCTTTAATCGGAAGGAAGATTTGATTAATTCTGTAATGGTTTAATTATATCTCTGCGTTTCAAGTGGATCTGAACAAGAAGCGCTGTCAGCTGACGGCGGCGACGTCACGTCCCAACCAAGCCCCGCCCCTCGCAACGTCACGCCCCCCATTTGGGCCACGCCCTCTCAGTTTGGGCCACGCCTTCTCCTACGTCACTCATTTCCCATTGGACACGAGTTCGGACTGTTGTTGTTCCTGGTTGGGCTCCATTGGCTGCGGGTGCGGTGACGTCGCATTGATGGGCGGGATTAAAGTCGTATTTACGGAAGTCGGGCGGCTCTGAGTAGAACCACGTGCAGCCCATGCGCCAGAGAAGAGATCATTGGTGCCGCCTCTATGTAACAAAAATCCTTAGCAAGTACAGATTTATTTACAACGCTAACAAGAGTCAATTATTGGATAGCCCGGATAATTTCTAATTGTTACCACGTAATTCACTGATTTTTTTGGCCCAAAAGATATTGGAATCAATAAAGTCATGCCACCTCATGTGGCACCGACGTCAAATATTCGGTCTGGCCTCATGGCATGTTTTGCAACAGTTGGGAGTTGCAGAGCTGTGTGCGTTTCTCGCGATGACATCCTCACGCATCTCATGTGCACGACTGTCGTAATATAGTAATGCTGTTTCGTGTTGCATATTTCTTTGCTAACGCACCTCACGCGTGATAATTGTTTCATAATACTATTTAGCATGCAAAATAACACGTTTGAGTTGTATTACAGGAATGTACAGTTATGAATAGTTCTTGTAATTATACCGAATTAGCAATGGCAACCAAAGCTCAAAGAAAATGTAATAACGAATTGAAGCCAAAGGGGGCATTTACCATTACCAATACTGCAAAATAACAGGATACTTTTTGGTTCTTTCGGTAAAGTCACGTAGGTATAAAATAAAAGAAATCACGACGTTTCGATCGCAACACAAGCGGTCGTCCTCAGGCGGAAAAAAATATAATCCAGCAGTGGAACTGCTGAACTAGCGAGAGAGCAGCTTCAACAACAGGATACTTGGAGACGAGACTCATGGATCTGGAAACGGAAGGTCGATATTCATAACTTAGGCATTTCTATAATACACATATGGATAAATGTTAAACATAAAAAAATCCAGGCCAAGATGAGTTGGTTAGGCTTATTTGCGGGGATTCATTTCTCAGGTAAGTTCTCAATTTCCGAGTGGCTGGTAGACTGGAGTAGGCACGTGACCAGTAGCCGCGGACCAAGTGAGAGGCCGACTGGACGTGTGCCAGGTGCGAATCGATTTTCCGGTTCACTTATCGAGATGAAATGAGGCCCTCGCAAGTACTTGGTAGCTAGGTAGGGTCGTACTATGGTGTTTGTTTTCCATTTGGCTAGTTTTGGGCCACTTTTTGTTTCTGTTGCTTGCAGCACAAACTCGCCAACTAAATTGTAGCTCTAATTATAAGCTTAACTCGTCCACAAGACACCAGTCACGTACCAGCCATCTGATTGAATTCTAACCATTGCCCCGAACACATCCTATGTAATTTTGTTCCAGTTTGTTTTAGTATTCACAAAACATTTCAAATTTGAAAAGCAATTAATATGTTAAAATGGATCTAGTTGAATCAGATGATTAAGGGTTAGAAGAATAATTTTCTCTTTTCATTTTTTTTTTATAGTTTTCTCAGTATCTCATACATTATCATATGTGTAGCCGGTCAGTCATCTGTCCCGCCGTGATCGTAATGAGAGAATATGCCGACTAACAAAAATGCATTCGGGGACGATAGATGTTATTCTGTTGTGTACTCCACCACGCGGCTGGTTGAGATGACTGGACACATTCACAAAGAGGGAACGCGAGTGCGTCTTGTAACGGCAACACTTTATTAGAAAATGCTCTTGTGGGTGGCTTTCGTATCTCTGCAAGTGACAAAAAGACCAACCACACGTCACAAAAACACCACCTTCTACTCAACCTCGCTGTAGGCGGAATTGAAGTGTTTATTCCTGTAAACCGCCGCCCAGATTGCCACAGCTATCTATATATTAACTTATACAAAATAAAGTATAACATAAAATGCAACTTAATAATTTTTATTATCACTATCCAATCGATCAGCAAGCAATAATTTAACGATATTAATTTGTATTTAACTTGAAACAGCTATGCTGGCTTACCAGTCTCCTGCTGATCCAGCACTGAATAGAGCCCCTGAACATTTCAAAGCTGCAATCGGCCCCAGGTGTCGTGGTTATGGCTTCGGGTCCAATCGCCAAGCCACCCAAAGTAGGAATTTCACCCTAACATGCAGTATGGAATGGCAAGATGCAGTACAGTACAGAACTGCTACTTGGCCCTTCTGGGCTGCAAAATACTGATTTCTGCACAATTATAGGTGCGATTCATCACAGGTAAGCCCACACAGGCTATACATATTAGCCTGTCTAAAGACTTATTTTGATGAAAATAACACCGTTTCTAAACCAATCATCAATAAAAACTTACCACAGCTTACAGATAGGAACACATCCGTATAGCTTTTGGACAAGTTTAGCAACTACATACTTACAAAAAGTATTTTAAAAAATACTTCATGAAACATTTTACATGCGATGGACCAAATGATCATGGTGCGTTCATTGCATGTGTGCTTGTAATGCGCTTGCTCACTCTTATTAGCATTTTGTGTTTCCATACACACGTTTCAGGGTTAAGTTTGGAGAAGGCGAATGCGTGTTTGCCTATGAGCGTGACAGGATGTGTAAGCGTGAGTATGTGCGTGTGAGCATAGGGAGTGGGTGTGGACATGGAGCTATGGACCATTTTTGTGACTCTTGTTTGTGTGGGGAGGGCACCTGTGTGTGTGACACGCAATGTGACGTAGGGCCGAAGTACTAGTGCTATGTCGCTTCAGTTTGGGGAACCTAGAAAACAGAAACTGCCTCTGATTTCCCAATCTTACGTGACATGCATAGATAGGTGAATTGCTGCTTGGAAAGCAAAAGCATCGGAACTATCCCCAGTCAGACTGGAGCATGGATTCTATCCATGCAGTTTCTCATCAGCACATATCACCTGAGAATAGAAAACCTAAGAGAGAGTTGTTAGCTTTCTGGAGCCATAATTTGCAATTGGTGAGGTAGTGGCCAAATTATGCCAGTAAAACTATCAGTGAGTTATTGTACCTGTGTGGGGCTTTTAATGTTAACCCCACGTATCTATCGGGGTACTCTGATTAATATGGGTATTCTGGCTGGTTCCCATATTCCAAACATTAATGGAACTGGCCAAACATCCCAATGCAGAATCCTCCTGAAAGAGTCTTCAGACTCAGGGGTGACCAGTCATGCCGGAGTCATTGGGATTGTTTTGACCATACTTCACCACACTGGTCGGCGTGGATTTGTGACGGAGGGTCACGGACTGGTTCAGATGTCTCTTGCCGCTCATATTAACCGCGTGGCAGAAAACTAATACAAAAAGAACACTTGAATCAACTAGACTTAGAAAACGACAATTTAAGACGTGACGACAAAAAAATCACAGGTTATCGTTCGCGCGGGGGGGGGGAAGCCTATATAACCTTGCTCACTAAATGACGTAAAACTTTGCTCTCAACATTTACAACAGCGCCCACGGGTGGCCCACGCGCACGCGCGCGCCGCTCCTCGCCTCGCGAGCAACAAACCAATCAGCGGGGAGATGTGAGGCGAGCGAGCCGAGTGGGCGGACACAGCAGCAGCAGCAAAACAATGGAGGCGTGGTCCTCGCCGAGCTTCGAGGGAGGGGAGAACGAAGGGGCGAGGCCTCCATTGCGCGGGAAATGCGAATTTCGCGCGTTCGGGCTTTGGCGCTCAAATGCAGCAGCGCCGCTCTCTCCCTTCATTCATTGTCCGCTTCCTGGAGCCATCTTAGGCAGAAAAGCGGCTAACGCTCGTCGAGCGCACCCGACCGTAATCCGAGGCATCCTCGGCGCAGCGACCGCACAGCTTCGCGAAACCGACTCCTTTGGAAAGCCGACAACCCAGTTCGACTCCAGGCTGCGATATTTAGCGTCGGGACCTGCTCGTCGAGTGCGAAATTAACGCCGCAAGTTGGACGCGCGACCTTGGCAACAAAAGAAGCCATTGCTTCATTTTTCGGGGTTCCCTCCCGTCTCTTCGTCAGCCCCGGGCCGGTCGGGAGTCGCGTCTTCGGACCGGGTTCTCGGCGCCGTCTCGAGGCCCATCACCTCGGGGAGATCAACAATCAAGAAAGCCGCGCGCTCCTTCGACCGGTGGTGGTGGTTGTTTTTCTTTAAAAAAAAAATTGCCCGAGCCGTGATAACTGCCAAATAATGTCTGCTGACAGAAAGCTGTTCGCCGCCGCGAGTTACCAGCTCAGCCAACTGGACGGTGTCGGCGGGGCCAGTGCCTACGCGACCCCGCAAGGCCCTCACGGCAGGACGGCACGGCCTCGTCTTGGCCGCCCCCCGGTAAAAAAGTGGGGGTGCTACCCCCCCCCCCCCCCCCGCCTACTCCACCACCCACACAACAAGCCTTGTGAGAGATTTGAGAGAAATGTACGGTGGATGTTGAGTGCGAGGAAGTTAGAGTGTGTGTGTGTGTGACTTGCCGTGGCTACTTTGGCGAAACTTTTGCGCGCAAACTTTTGTCACAAAACCATCGTCACTAACATCACCACCATCGCCATCACCACCATTCCTCTACCCCCCCCCCCCGTCTTTCTCTGTCTCGTCGCGAAATGGCTGCTCGTTTTCCGTACAGTAGCGGGCAGGGGGAGACTGTGAGAGATAATGGGGGGCTGTCTCCACTGGCCTCCGGGGTTAGTTGTTCAGTTCGAGACCGGACCCAGGTCCATTATCGATGAGGGGGGGGGGGGGCCGCGGAGGATCGATGCTATCTGACTATCGCGCCCCCCTTTCCTCTCCTGGTTTCAGCTGCGACAGCTCTTCCCCCGCCCGCCCCCCCCCTCTTGATATCTCACAAGTGTTAAAATGTATACGATGTGCAACATTTTGTAGCGCCGCTAAAGTTGGGGGGCGCGAGGTGGGGGGGGTGCACTATCCCGTTTCGCGGCGTCTAAATGTGTTGTGGTGGACGTTGATTGTTGATCTGAGTGGGGGGTAAGGGGGGGCACCTTTTAATCGTTACTACACCCCCCCCCCCCCCCAAAAAAAGTAAAGTTATTTGTGTACAAGATGTGCTTGTGTTGCTAATATTGACGGGGGGCCACGCTGGTTCGCTTCGTAATAATTTTGGTATGGGGGGGGAGCGTGGTGGGTGGTGGGATTTGCCCCCCACAACCTTAAATGTTTGTAGTGTTTATACGGCTCTGTATTATTGTGGCGTTTTTAAAAGTTTCTGAGTGTGCGGTTGCGGTGTTGCTGTTTGAGCTCCGGCCTCGTTGGCTGCTTTTGTTCGTGATGGAGGCACAAGGCCTCTCCCGAAGCCAGCTTAAACACACACACACTCGGGATGCCGTGGTGCTCATATTTTGACAGCAGTTTTGTTGTTATTGTTTGTTGTGGATTATCTTAGTTGATTCGCGATGTAAATGTTTTTTTACATCTTTAATCAATCCAGGATAATTAATGACACTTGGAAGTTTAGACGTGTATATGAGCAGCTAGCGCTGGATTTGAATGTGGAGAGACGTCTCTCTTTTTGAGTGTCCCCTCACGGCCTTTTGGGTCGTTTTGTGTGAGACGGGATCACGCCGTTCATCGGAAAACAAAAATACACAAATGTACGGAGTGTGTACGTTGACAACCTCTACCTACTGTTGTCGTTTTGTGAATCCACTGAGACTTTGCGTGGGGAAAGATGCACGTCAGAAGTTAAGCACTTGCCTACAAAAACTAAAATGTTGAGTGGCTGTTTATGCGTTGGATATTTTATTATAGTCTTATGTGCACATGCACATTTGTCAAACCACTGCTGGATGAGGGCCCCTCTCCATGCCGTGTCATTGGTTTGGGTTGTTTGACCATACTTCACCACGCTGATCCTGCTTTGGTGGGCAACCTATAACCTGTAGTGCACGGATGGATGGTCCATCCATCCGTGCACTATCCAGACTCAGACCTGCTTAGTTTCCGAGATCCGACTGAATCAGGCGCACTCCTTGTGATTTGGTCAGTGCATTGTATGGTATATATATTTAGTGTTGTTTTCTTGGATGTGGCTGTCCAAGTGCCCTTGGCTTTCCAGGAATGTTGACCGGGACCGAGTCCAAGAAGAATCTTCGTCCCCTGGCAGGGCAAGCTGGTGGGCTTATTCACAAAGGGGGGTAGCCCACCCCATTGCCCACGTGGAAGCGGGCCCCACCAGAGGCTGCCGTCACTTTTGGCCACAAGCTTTCAATGTAGCTTTTGATGAAGCTTGTGCGAATATCTTCCCGTCGACGGCTCCCCCCCGCCAGCCAGTCCATCCACCCAACCCATTCGCCGGCCAGTTCATGAGCCTAGGCCTCCAGAAGAATGGTGAAAAGGGCTCTGTGGGGGTGGGGATGGGATGGAGAGGAATTCGTATGGCTTCATTCGTCAAGAGGAAGATTGCAGGCGCATTTTGCGTGGTTGTTTCGAGCTGCCGCTCGCTTCGGACCATGGTGTAAGCTTGTATTTGACAGTAGTACAATGCACACTCATTTTCGCGTATTCACATTTTTGAGCACTGTTTCCGAGCCGGGTCTAGCTCATAAAATCCACCAGGGGGTTGATGCATTTGTTTGTAGTAATTGGCCTGGGTGTAAAATGGTCTTTAAACAACAGTACAATACGATATTGTATAACAGGGATTTATACAGCAGGGTCTAAATGCGACCACATCTCAAAATTCTGTACAAAAACTGAGCATATTTTATAGAGCAAGGCAGTCGGTCATTGGTCTCTATGCAAGTCTGTGAGTCCCCATGTGAGCCTATTGGTCTCTGTGTGAGTCCATACAATAGAGCTTGTATTTATGGCATCTAAATGCCGACCGCATCTTGAGGCGCTGTACAGAAACAGTGAGCGCATTTATTTTCTAAATAGAGGCAGTCAGTGATAGGCATTGGTAAAAAGGAAGCTTTGGAGCTTGGACTTGAACAACAGCAGGGAGTTGATAGCGTGGATGGCTGGAAGAAGCGAGTTATATACAGTGGACTCAGAAGAGGAGAATGAGTGACCTACTGAGTGTTGAACATTAAACCATAGTGTCTTGAGTGATTGGGTCTTTAGGTTCCTTGTGTTCAGTGTCTGTCACTAGAAACATAGGGTCAACCGACTGTGATGCCCCGTGCTGATGTTATGATGGACAAGCCTTTTGCCAATTCACTGCTGGATGAAGTCCTCCCAACGTGTGTCGGCCATGAAGATTGTTTGACCAAACTTTGCCACGCTGGTCAGTGTGGGTTTGAGAAGGGGTGGGGGGGGTCGTGTGTAGGGTGGCAGTGCCAGTTCTGATATGACTCGCCACTGATGTTGGCCTTTGCCATTAATTTTATTTGGGTCACTGGGCTTAGTGCGATAGCCATTGTGCCACCCGTTCCAGCCCAGTGCCTTGGTGGAGCAGTAATAAACTCATTAGTGGAATGTCCTCTCCCGCCACATAATTAGCTCCACTTCGAAGAGGGCCGTGACAAGATGCGTGGGCTTTTGTCTGCTGTGTTGGCAATGAGCTGAGGGTTCCCTTGGGCTGGGCCATGCTGATGAGCATCCATTACAATGAAACCACACGGCTTGCCGGTGCTCAGAAGGTGGCGCATGTCGGACGTGGTCAGGCGCTGGCGTGATGGTCTTGGTCTCATAGAGACAGTGCATGTATGCAGAATTGAGCCATTCCAAGTTTCATCACAGGGAGATGATCTGTAGATAGGCAGCAAACAATTCCCGGTGCGGGAGCTATTCAGCGGTTGTTGATTTTTCAAAAGAACCAAACAAAAATTATCTTGCATTTCCAAAATTCCTTGACATAGGGGCTTACATTGCACTCCATTCATGCTAGGAGAACGTCTTTAGAAAACACAATTCTTAAAAAAGTTAAATACTAAAATATTAAAATGTTATTGTATGTGTCCATGCCCTGGTGTTTTGGCAACTTGCAATCCCAACCATCTAATGCATATACACTTATTGTCCTGTGTTGTTTGACAAATGCAATTATAGATAATTGTGCACTTTGTCCACAATTTCTGATTTAATTCTAAGTGCAAGTTATTTAGGGATTCACGACAGGCATCGTCCATGGCATTGGAAAGTTAAGTTTGTAAAATGCTGCATTGAACTTTTCCTGTGTGGCTCATCATCATGAGCCACACAAGAAAACTCTTGACACACAAAAAAAACTATCCAATCTAATTTTGACAAACGATTTAAACAGACGCGCTAAGGTGGATTTCGGCTTGGGGGAATATTGTTTTCAACTGGTTTGCGTTTACAGTGCGTTTTGGGAGTGGCTCGGAAGAGTGCGTTATGTGTGACCTGTGGCCACAGGCAGCGTTGCATAAAATGGCGTCACCAAAAGAGAAGTAGAATAAACCGCACGTGGGAATTAAATTATGAGGTGTGGGCATAGTGCCGCCGCATTTCAGAAATTACGGAAATACTTTAAAAGCACCTTTGCCTAAGACGATGCTGCGCACCCTTATTCGCGGTGTTGTCTCCCTTTAATCTGAATGCAGTATGATATTTTTTGGGTGTAGGCCTATTAAAAAGGGAAGTATGAGGGAGAGACTGGGAGGGGAGTTGTGGTTTTGAACAAATTTGGTTTTGTCATTTGGATTGCTGTCATTTTGGCCATCCAAGTAGCAAACCGAAAATTTGGTTGGACACATTTAGGTTGGAGTAAGCCAATTGAATTTCAAACTTTTATTTCAACTTAAATTTGTCTACAAGCTATTATGCGACAGGTGGCAATCTGACGGTCTGATTCCATTGATGTTAATGTTTGGCATGTCATGATTTGCCTGCCTTGTGATATGATGAATTGTCACTATTTACAGTTCTGTTTGACTTCAGGAACATATCTTTTTCTTTTGCCATTGTGCATGTAGCACTTACATGGGTTACCTGAACCAATAGCATGCAGAATGTAAAATAATTAATGATAAATTATAGACCTTTGTCCATCCACTGCTGGATGAAGACCTCATGCTGTGTCTGTTATGGGAGTTGTTTGGTCATAATTCATGCCAGGTCAGTGCGAGTTGGTTAAGGGGAGCCACTCAGGACTTCTTCATATAGCACTGGCCACTGATGTTAGCTGTGGCCCGAAATTGAACAGGCACTGCCAAGATCATGATGGCATCGTGGGCTAACCACCATATAACATCTTTAATTGATTTAAATCTATAAATTGGTGGGTCATTACATTCCTAATGACCTGTAATGATTATGGACTGAATGGGATGATGCCTCGCATTCAAATAACCCCCATTGTCTCTCTATCGTGGGGGTCATATGGGCATACTTCATCACACTTGGTTATGGTGAGC